TTCGCCGGCGCACCCTGCGTGATGCGTGACGAACATATGGTCGAAAAACTACAGTACCTCCCTTGGGGATACATAGCATTCCTTTGATCTACGAAGTACGCCACTCCGCCACTCTTTTCCCTAACCTTGACGGGAAGGACCTCACACTTCGATGCACAAAGTACCCCCGGAATCAAAAACAAATTCTAAGCTTAATCGTGGAAAAAGCGCCACCGGTCAACGTACTCGATCCTGGAGAATACTGACATCTTGCACCACCAACACTCGCTATCTCCGTTTTACCGCAGAAACTGTCCTCGTCCTCGTCCTAATCGTCTTTGCAGGTACGGAAGGCGGAGAGTCTTCCCCGTCATCAGAGTCTTCGTCCCTAGGGCGCCCCTTTCCCTTCGTCTTCCCAGTCTCTCTGACTGCGTTCGAACTTGCGCTCGTTCTAATCCCAGGCCCCGAACCGCCTCCGGAGCCGCCGCCGGCGACATCTTGCCAATCCTTGAACTTCCTGCGACATGCGTTACTTCCACTTTCGAGGTATTCTTCCCGAGTTACGCATTGGTTGGGAAAATGGGGATGCTGTACAAATGCGAGGGCCGAGTGGTATGCTTCCAGCGCTGGTCTATGGAAAAATGGTGGACGAAGTAGTGAGCATAAGATGTATGACAGTCAGGCGATGACGCTGAGACTCGGACCACGTACTCGCTAGAAGGGTATATCGTAACTTCACAGTCCACGGGAGCGAGTGAACGGAGTTCGTCGAGCCTAAAACGTGAATCGTCCATTGTCGCTGGTCTGAGCACGCAGTGTCCTCAGGTACGGTACCATGCTAATTTAAAAGACGCACAGCCTCTGAGGGAACCCAGGAAACTTTGTGTTTCCACCGATGAGGCCAATGTTCGCCCAAAAGAGGCCGTGAAGATCTGGCGGTAATAGAGCGATGGAGTCCGCCACGGTGGCAGAGATTCCGGATTGTGGTAGACCTAAATAAACGGGAACACGCATTTTCGTGAGACAGTGATCAGTGTAAGGCATAATGGCATCCGATTTCGCGCATCACACACAGCGTGTACGAATGGTGGCTGGGGATGAAAGAGTCCCCAGGCAAAGCGCTCAGACATGATGAACGATAAATCAGCTAGTACCAATGGGTAGGGAAGAATAAGAGTCGAGCGCTAATATGCTTTGCGGACGAACAACGGAAAGAGTGATGACAGATTTCATTGAATGACTTTACCGATGTCGTCGGGGCGAAATAGGATCTCAGGCACCGAGAACCGTTCGCTTCCCATGCGTAGGACTTGTTCGCCCTCAGCGGGAATTACAGTTTCGTTCCTTACGTGCCCCCGTCTATTACTGCTGAAATCTGGGAGCACATATTCTTGGATAATAGTGTTCTTCTTCGAATTGGACCTATCATTAGATTTAGAGACACATCCCAGGACCTACACAGATAAAATATCCCATCGCGTAGAAAGAGTGAAAGGTTTGGTGGCCCGGAAATGGTAGGAAAGATAGGGACGAGGCAGAGTCGATGCTGAAGAAAACGTACCGACAAGTCTCGAGGTCCACACCAAACTCTCGGGAGACATAACAGCATGTCTCCTTGACTTCGTTCATCACGTATGTCTCGTCCATCATGTTCCACTGCCTGAAAGAGACAAGTTCCTTTAGGTGATTTGTCAGAAGTTTTCCTCCGACATCAATTCTACGAGGCCCATGCACGGGATTGAGAAGCATGATGATGGTTAGACAGTGAAAAAACGGAGCAAAAACTGGATGACGCATTCTTAAAAAGGGGGGTGGAAAGAATAATTAATCGACGAGGGGACTAACCTCTTCACGGCATTCCATTGAATGGAATGATTGATGATAGGGATAACGTGTGTAAAGCTGAAACCGGAGTCAACGATGAGCATGCACTCGGGTGAGTGCAGACCTGTCTTGGAGAACAGCTGTCCATGAGGTACGAGAGAAGCCGCTGTAGATCAAAGCAATCACCGACAGACATGAGCCCATAACAAGCGGGAAACAACATCGGTGCCATATATCAATGATTGGATGACAAGGACAGAAACAAGCAAGAAACTTGCGAGTGCATCGATGGTATGCCTGGAACTCGTACTCTTCGAAAACAAACTGGTCGTATACTTCTTGTATGCTAGGAAGGTTGAAGTACGGCTCTGTGATCAAAAGACTGCAATCCGGTGGGTCGACCTATAGGTAGGAGCATAAATCAACACTAAATATGACAGTCCGACCACAGTGTAAGGAAGAAGCCGCCTTACACGGAGGATTTCCTCGGAAAATATACCGTCCCAAATTGCTTTCTCAGCATCCCAGTCGACAATATATCCCTGTATATTTGTTTAGTGACGTCTTGCCAGGGTTTCAAAACCATAAAAGGATAGTCAAGATCCCATGCCCCATGCCACGTCGAGTGAAAGCGTCCGTGAGACAGAAATGTACCGTGAAGGCCGCGTACCTTTTCAAAAGGAAGACGGTAGTGAAGAGACGCATGGTCGGTGCATTGGTCTAATTCATGGCCAAAGTATGTCCGTTTGTCACCCTTAGAACGGACGATTGCGTTTGATACAATCCTTTCTTAGACAAACCACATGTACCAAGGGGGTAAAGGATGTGGCTCAGCGAGTTCATCAGGCAACAAGGGTTCGTCAAGATCTCACCTCAAGTTATTGCCTTGTGGGTATCCTGAGATACCGATCTTTATCGTTGAAGCTCCGTTATCCACGACAACAGTATTTCGTGGGGCCATGGGTGATGTTCGGATGATAGAAGCCTCTACAGCAGAGTGGCCAATTTTGGATATAAAAATGAGCCAAGATTCTACGTATGTTGACCGCAGGTTGACCGTCTATGCCGAAAACAGAGTAAAAACATACTTGATCCAAGAATCTCTGCGTGGTCCCGGATGGTAAGGGCTATAGCGGGCTCAACAGTTGCTCAAGAGCGACTTGAAGTTGTTCATCTGAAGACACAATGTTCCGGCATAAGCCGATCTAACACGTGAGGACACCGGTAATCCGGCTGCCGGCAAGCGCGAGCTTGCATCCGATGGCGTCATGTCTCGCTTGAAAGGCCATCTTGCAATTGGCTATATCGTCGCTTTTGTTGCCCATATACCTTGACGAGCTCGAGAGACTGTTTATATAACCTGTAAGGATTCAGGTAAGTGTTTGATACAGCATACATAGAGAAGGAAACCTCGCTTCTGATGATCGAATCCGGACTTACCTAAACTCAGCTCCGAAGAGATCATCCTTCCATTGCCCACTCAATTGACCTTACGGCTAGTCGCCATTCGGGTTGAGCCATATTATTGTGGTAGAGACATATTAGTAAGAAGTTTTCAGAAGTTGAATGTTAAAAACTATTCTGACCGAATAGCATCAACACCAGTAGACCACCACGTTCCAGTCGAACTATCCATAACTCTGCATACATCTAGCACTTGTAAGTCCACTAATGGAGCGCCTTGTGGCTATGATTTTCGTAGAAATGCTCACATCTGACTTATTATTATGATGATATGGCATACCCAGTCTCGTCAGCTCATAATGTGTGTCGCCTTTTGGTCCCTCACCCACTCTGAATATGCGCTGTACGTTCGAGTCTTTGTTACCTCTACCATCTCTCAATCCTTAGTCTCAACATTTCCACTCACTTCTATAAACACATTACATTTCGTCTGTCACTCTATAGCATTCTTTGTACGAATCGCGACGAGTTTCTCGATCGGCCTACTGCACCGGCTCATTTCCACGCTTTCGGGAAAGGCGGTACGGATGGTGCGTCCAATCTTCCTTCTAACCGGGGTACACATGTGCCAGGGTAAACATATAGCTTTTTTTTTTATAGACAAATCAGGTGAAGGCAATGTGCTGTCCGGTCGCGATCTCCTAGCAGGAGGGACATGGCTTGGGATCACCCGCACAGGAAGGCTTGCGCTCCTGTAAGTCCTTCACCGGATCCAATCCACGTGTTTTGAATGCAATGCACAAAACACCGTAGCACTTTCAGGCCAAGTGATTCCCAACATACTGGGTATTTTGGGCTGCTTTGACCATAAGCTTAGGCTTATGAAGTCGGTTGGGACGACGCGTGTCGCGAAATTTCGCCGATGGAGCATGTATCACACAGTTTCGGCTGGATAAAGTGAGGCGAAATGAGCACTGTTATCAATGTGGCATGAGGTCGTTGAACCTGCGTTTGGTTCACTCGCGCTCTCAAGCGCTAGGTCCCACACCCTTATATCATGTCCTCTTTTCTCACAACGGGCGTCATTATTCAGGACAAATATTACGGAACCAATGTCCTCGTACAAATCGTCGAGAGGGCACTTGGTCACGTCCTTTCTCGCCCCAACATCATCCCAACATGTCCGGTCCCTAGCGGACGAGGTCGATGATCTCCTCTCGCAGAGGCTAGACACGCCTTACGCCGGGTTTAATATGCTCTTGCTGGCACCTCGTGGTACCGGCTTACCCGACAATTGCTCCACGGCTGCATCGCCCCACAATTCACTCTCGTTCTCAGCCGAACTCATCACCAATCACGGTGGAGGTGGCCCCCTCGCACACCGGTCTCTTACGGAGTCGGAAAGGCACTGTGGTGGTATGTCAAATGGTGTGGATGGTAGGGGAGCCTCAGAGTGGCCCAAGGTTGTCCGCGGAACGCAGTCGCTCCAGGAGATACTAGAATCTCTACCTACCCGATCGATGGAAAACGATCCGTCCGCCGACCGTGAAGCTCAGACGCGTCGTGACGATCAGCTAGCTGAATCATTGTTTCAAATGCTAGAGTAAGCTCGTCATCCTTTTTCACTGAAGAAGGAGCTTCCTGATTATCTTCTTCACTTCCTCCAGATGGCGGTCTGATCCACCACCCGTTGACCGTGGCACCCTTAGGAATACCATCCATATCGCACCACTTCCTATCGACCCGAAAGCCCCGATCAAGGGTCCAAACGTCACTGCAGCCACAACTGACGTCGGTTCTGCACATGAAGCCTCGACCAACACCACAGAAGGAGCGAAGGTCTCTGGCAGGCGATTCTACGGTACTCGTCTATCGACCGTGGTACTCGTTCGACGAGACGGCCAGGCTCGTTTCCTTGAGCGGGACGTTTGGATGTTGGGCAAGGACGGTGATGTTGTTAGAGGCAACAAGAGTCTCCAGCGTGATTATACGTTCTCTCTACAATTGTCTTGACTAAGTGTAACTGGTGGTGCCATTGATTGATTGTTGCGTGTCTTCTAATTCTATATGGCATTGTTATACGATCGAACTAATGTGTACATCCTTCCGTTCAGTTGACGTATGAAAACTGAATCTTGTAACTCACAGCACACATCTCCATGTCCTCGCTGATAAAGGTTCTCTGCTCTCCCTCTACGCTCCAACCATCACAACGAAGCACACGAAAAACCAACCAAATACCAAATATCTATTGCGTGAATCATTCACTGCTATCGTCTCGCACTCGTGGATGCTGTATACGAGTGTCCGATTACGAGTAGAAGAAGTGTCTGCTGAGCACTGAAGTCTTAGTTATGCATCCTGCATCCTCTTCGGGAGCCCTGCCTTGGTTTTTTTGCCATGGCGCAAAACCTACACCACGATCCACGGGGATACAGAGTATCCATATCATCGGTACAGCACCCGTCTGGTCATCGGAAATTGAACCTTCCCATTTCACGACAATCCAGGGTTTGCTGGGTTTGCTATGGGCGCCCCGAGGACTGGGCGAAGACCGACACGTACGGCAGCGGAGTAAACCAGACGTACATGGATCCTGCGATCACCGGAAGATGTGAGTGGCCGTCTGTGAAGAGGTTCCCGATGAGAACTGGGTCCAAAAAGTGACGAAGAAGGAAATCCGGCCTCCACATTCGTACATCTTCCTCTTAACTTGTTTCGTTAGAGCTGTGTGCCTGATTCAAACTTGGAACAAAGGACAGTTTGTAGCGAAGCGACTGCAAGGCTCTACTCTTTCCTCTCATGAGTATAGTAAGTTGATGGCAAAGTTAGAAAGAATGGAGGTAACATTCTCGTCGTGTCGAAGTATACAGGACTTCAAAGCAAGCAATTGTCTCCAGACCATCTGGCAGGTAAGAGGCTCCGCCGATCATGATATTTCACGATAGCAAAGGGGAGTGCGGAAAACGCCTGAATAGTCACTTACGGTCGACTTAGGCCTTGCGCTAAAGGATCACAGACAGGTACTCTATTTAACATCGTAAGTGAATGGATCATGAAGACCAAGACTGAGGATTCACCCGGATACCCATCGATCAACCGGAGTGTCCCAATCTTTCCGGCGGCTGGTCTATGAGAACTTAGGTTGACCTGGATGCTTGCGGTGGACCGCTCACCGATACCTATGTGCGAATTCTTGAAGGCCTTCATCAGCGCTAAGGAGATGACTGTGGTCGGTTGTATCGCTACAGCCTAGTATGTGTGCGCACATAAGGGTAAAGTACCCTCGGAGACCTGTACTGGACGATACTACTGTATTCAGGTCGGACAGCCAGGCCTGCCAGAAGCCTTGCGATAGCCTCGTTGCTTGCTATAGTTTCCTAGTGTTAACCACCATGTGTGCTATACAGCATGTCAACCTCCTTCAGAAAGAAGCACGGTGCAATAATAAACGAGACGCACGTCAATAGTGGCTCGAACATGAGTGAGCAAATATAGGACAGTCACACTCCCGCGCCCTCTTTTTGAGGGTTCCGGTAGCGTCAAGATCAGAAGGTATCTGACATACGCTAGGCATATAAAACTCCATGGCGTTGGTACAGGATCGCGTTTAACCATCCGCAAATGGTCAAACGCAAGGTAGTGCAAAATCGAGGTCCATATATGACCGCGGACGATCGGGAAGAGCGCTTGGCAAGCGTATTCATACTGTATGATGCAAGTTCTACTGATCCCATGCGATCATCCAGCATTCTTCTAGACGAAGGCGGAGGGAGGTCAATCCATCTCACCGTCGCGGGATATTCTGGCTTCATGGCAGTCTAGTCTACCACCACATATTTGGCGTCAGATCGGCCAATAAGCTTCTCGATGAATTAAGGCCCCAAAAAGAGGAATTGTTGAGAAGACTGTGGAGAAGAGCAAGCATTTCGAGGCACGGCCGGGGAGCTTTGCATCGAAGAAGCTGAATTCTGGCATACACCCATCGCACGACGGACTTCATACTATAAGTCTGTGTCATGGATTTGACTAGCGAGTAGTACTAGTGTAGACACATCGTTACGCGAGCTCGAGAACGGGAAGTGCGGCTTGCCACGTCACAGACCCGAGTGCGTTGCCAATAGGTTACACCCCTAACCACCCACTGCATCAACCCTAAATAAGGACTACCAGGGAAACCCGATGTCGGAAATATGGAACAGCATATCATATGACAGCAGAGTATAGATAGCTACAATAGACCGTGCTCGAACCATCGCAGCTATCCATATGCCTACGGCTTGCATTCTGTCACTATATTGTGCTCAAAATCGCCACCAGGACGTGAGCTTGGCACCATGAGCCAACGAGCCCGCAGCCATAGAGAAGAACAGATAACCTGGATAGCACTGGCATAAGGAAGAGTCAGCGGCCACTTGGACCACGCGCACTGATTGTGTCGCTTGAGAGTCTGACAGTCTCAGAAATAGAAGGAAACACCCAAGGATCGCCTAAGAAGTGGATGATAACATTATCCTTTCGAAATCCTATGTGTCGTACACGGTCTCGAGATTGATTAACTGAATCTGAGCAGACCGTGGTCCATACCGGTCGCTTGGTTTCCAAATGACTTGCGAACCGAGTTGAACGCAGTGGAAAGTTTGTCAGATGATCATAGAAAAAATGGCGTAATATTCTCCCTACAACCTAGTTGAGCTTATATGAGTACTTTGTAACAACTCTTTGAGAGAAAGACCGACCAGGAAGTTGCATCCTACACAAATCCCACACCTAATTGTGAGTCTGGCTGAGTATGATCAAAGTATGAGAATGTGGCACGGTAATTACCGGCTCCTTCCTTCAGCGCGTTTGTCAGCCGACCCGCCTCCCGACTCTTCCCGACAATGCCTTTCGTCTGTGAATTAGCTTCAGCGCCCGATTCCGTATCTCAAGGGAACGACTGTCTTCCCGTCCTTAGGTCTGACTGTGGGAGACTACGATTCCGAGTCTTGTGCCGGTGTTCATCATCATGTAAGTGCTTTCTCTGGATATTCGAACTTTTTGTATCAGGCACAGCCTTTGTTGACCTGCTAGTCTCTACCAGTCTCTCCCAGTCCTCAGTGCTCAACGCTATATTCAGTCACAGCCCATTTTGTCACCAGTGACGCCACGATGAGCACATATCTCTTCTAGGCCCAAGCACTATGTTTATACCTGCGGGATTCGACAATACCCCCAAGCTCTGCGTAGCTGGCAGTGATAGTCTTATAACTAAATAGTGCGGGCGTCTCTGCATTGTGCCTGGTCCATCCATTTCGGCGCCGTCTGTGCTTGGACTAACACAGAAGATTGTTCTATAAAGTTTTTGAACCGGTCAGCCTCGCGAAAGCTGGTTGTTATTTTGGTCGCTATGTATCGCATCCCTTACGCGAGGTATCGGAAGTCCATCCATGCTCGGCTTTTCGTTTCGGAGTTCTAACACGAGTAGACTCGGCCTCTCTCCGCAATTTCTTCTCGCAGAGACGCTGAGAATTGGCATCTGGGGATACTGGTACTGCCATAGGTGCTTTCAGTGAACATCAGCAAAAGATGCGTCTAGACAGCACATTCCGCTTATATTTTTCCCAGTCCGATGAGGCAGGCTGGGACAGGAATGCTTCATTGCTGCCCACATACCTGTTTGCAGTGCTCAGATATCGGGGACACACGGGTTGATCATCCGCATTCCTGGCCTAGCATGATTTTCTAGTATCCTCGTCTTTGATTGTGCTATCATCGACCATATCGCTCAGCTTAACTTCATACGCAGCTTGCATTCTGGCAAGTTCGTGGGGAACATTCTAACTCCCGTGCGGTCGATATTACTTCTGTAACGCCTGAATGTGTTCTTTTTTTCCGATGCACCCCTACCGTGTGCATGGGGCAGAGGAATATCCTAATATCTCCCCAGAAAACTTATCGTTTGTCCTCTCTTGTCTATTCAGTCTTCCATTACCTTCCTCCCTCGGGTTCACCACTTTCTTCCAGTCCATGGGCCTTGACAACGAGCGGCCTTCGGTCCCCACTTTATTGCATGGCCAAGCACGTATCACCGGAAGGCCAACCGTCCACCGATCTTCCACGTAAGGTTGCTTCCATTGTTTCGGCCGATGCTGTGTTCGACTCCCGACCACGGCGCTCACATCGCGCTCAAGCTGATAACATCCCTACTCGCTCCTACGCATCTGGCCCCATCGCGGTTCCAAAATTCATGAATATGTATCACCGGAACTGCCACTACATCGTGTTGCCGAGCTGTCAAACTACAATTATGGACATTGAATGTCATTTTGTGGTCTGTCTGAATAATCTCTTCGCGATTTCTTCTCCTTTATTCTCGCTCGTCGTATCCATCGGACAGAACTCAATCCAGTTCCCACTGGGGCTCACGCTCCTGGCTGACCGGCGCCGTTGGTCGCGTCGATGAGATAATAATAGAATAAATGTTTACTGGCTTGATACATGGAGATGGCCTTTGACCAGTCAATGAACTTCTAGCGGTCGCCATTCCCCTATTCCTTCTACTTTGACGTTTACCGTGTGGGCCACAGAAGGGTAACCATACTGTCCTTCTGCGCGAGGAAGTTGGTGACCAGTGGGAACGAAGCCTCGAGGCTCTGAGCCCACCTTTCGTCATGACACCCGCACCACGTTCAAAAGTGGCCATCCTTCTTGGTACTCAAAGAGTTCTCATGGAGCCTGCGTCATGTGCATCGAAGAGGAAATGAATCCTCCGCGAAGTTCCCCGTATCTTGCATATCTACAGGGCGTACTCTGATGGGTCTCGAAATGGAAATCGTGGAGCAGAACGGCTTTGCTAGTTTCCGTATGGACGCCTTCATTCTAGTTCATTTCTTTTGTTAATTTTCACACGGTTCCACTTCGATGCTCCCCTGTTCTGGTGCTCCGCTACATACGCCTCATGCAACTGACACCCTTTTTGGTGACACAGCTCGTAATACATCACATATATTATGTGTTCATTGGCTCTGGGAGCATGGGATCTGAATGTGGCTGCTGTCTACCACCTTCGTACGGGTCGCCCTCATCGTCACACACCCATACGCACTATCCGCTATGGACTCCTATTCTGCACACGGTGGTACTCATCGCTCAGAGTGAAAAAGAGACCCGAAGTGCACCTGCGAGTGCCCCCAATCCCCTCGAAATGTGGTAAACGTCCTCCCTGCCTCATGGCCAAAACGGTACATGAATGTAACGTACGTCCTACACGTCTCTTCTCAGGCTGTCACCGTTCAAGCTCAAGTTTCGTTCTTTCTTCCTCTCATGGCTACACTCTTCTGATCCTACAGAATCCGAGAATTGTTTCCCTGACCTTCTCTTTCCCTCGTCGCGTTACGTATTTGCGATCCGCGTTCCAATGAACAACCTCTTTACAGTTGAGCTTCGAGCTTTGTTCCGGAATCGACCTCCTCGCCTGTGTGTTCTCATCATGATCAACTATGGCACTTTCAGGATGTCTATTATACATCTGCGAGTCTGAGAAACTTCGTCGGCCCTCGCCGGACTGATCTCTATTTCTGTAAGGTTAAAGTTTCGTGAGAAGAACACCGCGAGTTGACGCGGACCATGCTCACGGCTCAGTGCCCTGCAGCATAACCCTCTCCATCGCATTCTGACCTCTTTCATCCTCTTCTTCTCTTCGCACATTTACTGTCCTGATTGCACGGCCTTCTTGGTTCTTGTGTCACTCCGTTTTCGTGTACTTGATGGCAGAACTCCGGACAGCTCAGAGCAGATTGATGCCAATGCTCAACTTATTAACTGATCCGATTGTGACACAGGCAGTTCTGGGCTCTGGTAGGAAGGACGTGTACTGTTTAAGGTTATCCGTATCTGGTATTTTGTCTCTTTCCTTCCCTTGCGGTCAAAATCTGTGCCTTACTTCCTTCATGTCCCAATTTATACAGCACAGCTTCAAAACGGAACCGGCGCATCACCTATCCCACCCTATTATCAGCATTTCGCACCTCGATCCTGCAGCACGCTCTCTCAACGTTAGACGTCGAGCGGTGAATGATTACTGTTGAACAAGAATGTTCACGTTATTCTCCAGGTTGGATCGCCCATTCAGCTGAACTTGGACTCTCGTTTTCTGGTGCCGATTGACAACCCACGCCAACTGCACTGGGAGCAAAATTGCGAGATGCCGAGCGATGAGGATGTATCTTCCGATATGCACGGAGGGAGGAGACGAGACCGGTGAAGGCGGGGAAAAGCTCGACTAAGGCCGTGCTGATGTCTTTTCTTGGATTACAATCTGTGACTTTACTTGGTTTGTGTCCCGATTGAGGACATGGACTCCAGTGTGATCACGATCACGAGGTCGCATATGGGAACATTCATTCCCATTTTGGATCGATGATTGGGCTTGGCCTAGGATTGTTTCTGCTCGACGAGATTTGCTGGGCGTTTGAGGAGCATGCTGGCCCTTGAACGACAGTCTTCTTTGTTGGGAGTTGATTCATTTGCATACAGAAGAAGCCAGAACGATGGTAAATCACCCATCATGATGGAACAATTCTGTTTTGTTTGACTGTTGGACAGATTCGAGCGCGACTCAGCTGTCTCACAAAGACAGTCATTAGAGCTCTAAAACGCGCTTACTTGTACGCTTTGTGATCATCATATGCTGTGGGATCAGCGCTTTGCCCTCAGTCGAAGGGCTATTGCTCGTGTGCTTGATGACTTGACTTCGCTCTGCTGTATGGTCTCTGGTCTTCCATCTCTGGTTTGTGATGCTATGGTCTGTGACGAAGGTGATATATTGCTATCGATGTGAATATGATGCGTTCTGTCGGTCCAGAAGATGAGCTTTGAATGCTTGACTGAAACCTGATCATGACTGGCTGATGAACGCTCTCGGACTTTACATGAACTGTCCGGGGCACTGATCTTCGACATATGACCTTGAGGATCGACCACTAACTGATCTTGGCGCTATCTGGCAATGTCGCTCCGAGGACAACAGGCATAATTTGCTCGCTCCTTCTTCTCCGTCCGTATGCCAGCTCGAATGCTCTTCCTCTTCCCTTCAGTTCAAGCGCCGACGCACACCTCCATTTTTTGCTTGGTGCCACTCATCCCCATACGTTTACATGCGTTCCAGCGTCATATCTTGGAACTCGGTACATTGCTTCGCGTTCCTCGCCAGTCAATCTCACTCTCCTGTCGTGACCGTTCAGTCGAACACACCCTTGCTCACCATGTTGAACCGTGCATCTTTCGGCGCATTGTCTCCTCTTCCTCCGTTCCATTTGACTCGCTTGTGTCCTGCTTTCCGACACTCTGCGACTTCTTCCAAGTTCTCAGCTAATGGACTGCTCTTATTATACAGCATCGCACCCGTTCATTCGAAGATAACGACTTTTAATCAATCGCAATCGCATCTCACAAATATGTATACCTCTGTTGAAAACGGGCTCGCCCCACGCCGACAGTGTAAGTAATTATAATATTGTCCGGGCTGCAGAAATCAGCGAAGAGCGTTCCATATCTCTAATATGTCACTCAGGGCGATCTCGTTCGGCAAGCCCAAACATACCGCGGCATAGTCCTCACAGTCTCCAGAATTCATTTGTATATGTGGTCCTGTGCCGAGGGAGGACCTGAGCGCTAAACAGATCTCCAGGACACAGATCTTACACGCCCTACACGCCCGGACCCACATACTACAAATGCGCATCCGAGAACGACTTGATGAAATGAACGAATCCTCACTACAAATCCGTGATCTGCGAATTTATAATAAACAGCAGCGCAGTGCCTCCTGAGACTGAGAAAAAACAAAGACGTTGGGGCCTGGCGTGGCGGGACCGAAAGACCGAAATATAAATATGTGCGCATTCGACTTCGAACGCGTCCGAGACGCATGCTCATGCAGTTCAACGGTGGGAGACACACACAACGAAGTCACACAAATGGAGGGAAGGAAGGCGAGGCCTCGAGCTCCGAGCTTCGGAGGCTGGCAGGGCTGGCAATGTCGATGATGATCCACAGGCACGCCAACGCTTGTTTTTAGTACAAACGCGACGCGATCTTTGATATATGTCATGCCACAGACAGGCCTGAGGCTCGATTAGGGGGGTCAGATTCGGACCTGGCGGGTGAAGATCGTGTTGTTTGTTCGAATGTTGTGCACTGGCAGACTCAGTTTGGCTCGTCGCTCCCTCCTCCAAGAGCCGGAGTGGCCCTTGAGCGGACTTCGTGCTACTTAAGACGATGTGACCGAGCTGAGTCCGCTCAGGGAACGCATTGAACGAAACGAATCGGGGCCTTCGTGCATCATCACCATGGTATCTCCGCACACAGGCAAGCCTGAGAGTACTACTCACGTATACGTGGTTCAAAGCCTATTCCCGCGTAAATAACGTTGTATGTAGTAAGAAGTTCAAGGGGCGGAGAAGGAACCGGATGAAAGGATACGGACAATTATGCAGAGGGCCGTTGATGAGTATGACGCGCGGAACACGTACTACCTGTTCCTGTTCGCCATATGCGCAACAGTATCCGGTCGAGGATATACAATCACGATTGGGACAACCTGGATCGCATTGTATTTTAGCTGCGGCCATATAATGGCCACAAAAATGTGCTCAGGACTTGTGGAGCCATCGAACGTGAGAGAATTGCTGGAAAATAAATAGAGAAGTCGACATTGGGCCCGGAGATGCACGAATTCCAGTCCTCGAGCAGTAGAAATCGAGCAGTGTACCACAGACTCGGAGAACACGGGTGCTATATGTACTAGTGCATGAATTGCAAGAGACTAGGGTCGTTAGCAACCAGCTAGTAGTGTGATGCTACCCATAGGAAATTACTCCACAGAACGCAAAAACACAGTCCCGACGTTCATACCGCGACGCACCATTACCATTGCATTGCCAGTCCCTCGTCTCCATATCCGAGACCCGTCAGACTGGACTTCAACTCGGAATAATCCAGTCGATTAGCAGGGGACACACAGTCCACTGTGGCGCAAGCCCAGTCTAATCGAATCAAGTACGACCGTCGCGGGAACTACAGCACTTGAATTCGGACTCACCCTTGCTCTCCCTAGCGAACGTCAACAAGTCGAACTTTGAACATTGATCGATCATCATATGCCATACCTACCATTTAGTCTTCAATGGACACACCCACAAACCTTCTCGATATCTCTCCGAGTTGGAATCGAAAGGTCCGAAGGAGGAAAGAGGAAGAGGAACAGAGAGGACGCCGGGGCAAAGAGAGACGCGGGAGATCGAGGTTCGATGGTGAGTGTCTGTCCGTGTCCGTGTCCGTGTCCGTGTCCGTGTCCGTTTCCATCGTGTCACTGAGCCGCGAGCGGGATCTCTCACTGTGCTGTACACAGCTGGCGTCCAAACGTCCACAGTCCGCGATAGTGTATATGACAGGTCTGTTTGCTCCGAGTGTAGTGTTAGTACTAACTTATACATGAAGAACTTGAATGATCCCATCTCCGAACGGAGTTAACTCACTTACCGTCCCGTGATCCTTTGGGTGATTGTGGTCGGGCGATTACCAGTGCGAGAAGAAACAAATGAATGTTCGTATGTAAGTGACCGGGTCATGATACGATATGATGTATATGCATCGGGACTAGACTAGGGTACTCACCTACTTGCAGATGAACGTGGAACCAAAACGCCACTGATCCTGTACGATGTTCCGTGGCGACTGACGGTTACCTTGAACCGTGGAACGCATCAGTCGCGAATAAGCATCGTCGCGTCCGTTTCTGGCTTTTCGGCTTTGGTGATGCTTTCGAGGACCCTGGCTCGTCAACCAATATTAGCTCCTCGTTCGGAGTGAGAGATAAGAGGTCAGTGGTATGGGGGAGGGGAATGGGGGATAGGGGATGGAGGATGGGGGATGACGATCTGTTCAGGTGTTCAGCCAATCCATATGATAGGCGTTCATGCTCACGAACATAACGACTCAGCTGTATCAGCACACATCGAGAACTGATTGTTCGGCGTAAGTCCTCACAGATCTCCGCGATCTACGTAGACTCGGAAGGGATCATCGGGGGGCTGTGCATATATTACCATCCGTTGCCCTCGAGCTTTCCCGATGTGCATGTGCTGTGTGAAAGGAAAGTTGTGATGGTAGGTAGGCTGTGCAGGATGAATCGTGCCGGTGGCCTTGTCTTGGGCTCCGTATGGTGAAGTGGCTAAATGGTCGAATGAGCAACACGCCCGCATCGACTCAGAAACGGAGTGAAAACCGAAGTGACTCACCAGAAACCTGTACTTCTCGTCGTCGAAGCGCAAAACACATCAAGAAACTCGAAAACAGTCATAACATGTCCAGTCACTTCAGCTTACTCCCAGACTGACAGCGCACATCAACAAATCCACCACATCAACCGGCCGTCCGCTCCCTCGCACCCCGGAGGCGCTCCTATCCTATCCTATCCTATCCTCCTGCACTATCACACCCTACATAATCTGCAGACGAGCAATATATGACAGTGGATATGATGCCCGAGTCCGTACCCGGGAGTAGCGCACAAATAAACAAAACAAATACTGTAAAGAAAAAAAGTGCAACAAATTGACGCGATGCGTCGGGATCGGAACGTTCGAGCTGTGCAAATGGGGCAAGTTATAACCCAACTCAAGTCAAGTCAAGTCAGGGATGGGGTAAAGTCAAGGCGGATGGGTAAGGCTGACTGGAAAATTGGAAATTACCCCGGCGGCGGATAGATAAGAAGTTAGAACTCACGGGTGACGGGTCGGGGTCGGGGAAGGAAGGGGAGCCGGGGAGTGATCGAGATCGTCGAGTAGTTACTTTATCTGACGGGCCGAGATTTCAAGTTGTGTTGTGTCGAGTATTTAGACTGTCACGAGTGTCCGGTATGGACTGTGGCGAGAGTTCAACGTCCGATGTTCAACCTTGCAAGTTGTCAGTCGAGGTGAAGGTGAAGGTGATCACTGATGACATAGTCTAAAAGTCCCCGGACAATTCGATGAGTGATGCGAAAAAGGATGACGAAACGGAAGAGGACACGAAGGTAAAGGTTTCGCGTGAGCGCTCGACTGGATGGGGTTGGCACTTCGCTGGGACCGGCACAAGGATGGAGAGCGATTGACCAAGTGAGTGACACTTTGAAAGAGCGTAAGTCAGTGAGTACTACTAGTGAGTCGTGCACAACGGAAGACATACGATGCGGGGATGCTAATGACGTCGCTGATGGAGACGGAGCAGAGAAACGACTATCAACACGCACCATCAGCACTTCAGTCAGTAAGCTGTTATCTTACCTCCGAACATGACCCATTTCTGATTCCTGAATCCTACAACGTTCCGTTCGTTCCATACATTTCAAGCATCCCGGATCCCAATCCTGCTAGGACGTGAAAACGAAATCGTGTTAGCGACCTATAGGAAGGTCGCTCGCATGCCAATACTTACACGTCGTCATCGCCATATCGAGGTCTGCGACGTAAGTGGACCCGAAATACGAAGGCGTGAAGGTATGGAGGTGGGTTCCAAGACTCGGACTCTTCAGTCGCGATGGTGTCAATGTCGATGTCAACAAAAACCGCCACGGTGGAGGAGGCTGCGGAGAAAGCCGACGGCGATCAGACGAGCACAATATCTTAATTGACAAGTTGCGCCATCGTTCGCAGACTAGAGTAAGACTCCTGAGCGCATTTATTTCGACTTCAACAAGACGAAGTGAAGACAAAGCAAGAGTCGGGCCCGTCGAACACGGAAAACCGACGACGGAAGCAAAAAGAGAGAGAAAAGAAAATACACGATCATGATACCGGAACCGGGTAAAGATAGCTCGCCGGTTCTCGTACCTACCGGATTCGGGAACAAAGGCAGTTCCCGCGACGAGAACGGCACTCGACCTGAAGTGTTTGGAGTGTTGCCGTTGACACGTTTTGGTTTACAATATGGCCGGTATCTCCAGAGGTGGGTGCGAGCTAAAAGGTAAATACGAAGCGATGTCTAACGGGCATCGGGCTGTTTTAGACTAGACAGCACGCCGTTACTATGCATGGGATGGGATGGCTGGCTAGGATGGATGGATGGAACAAGCATGGTGACATGGAGGACGAGTTGTGAGCGGGGCGCGCAAGACGCGTGGCGGATGGCGGGGTACGAAAAACGAACAGAGAGCGATGCATGCATAATTAAGGGGCGAGACGGACCCGGGGGATTAATGCAGTGGTCGGTCTGCCCGCGTATTACGTACCGAAGGGGCTGTGGCGTGCCTTGGACTGAACTGGGACGAGCTCGAGTTGTTTTCGCCAAGAGAACGAGAGAGAAAAAAAGATGAAAAGATGGAAGGATAGGGTGTATGTAAGTAAAGACGAGGACGATGGGATGATTGGAAGGATTTGGGTTGTGGACTGGGATGGCCTGGGTGAGATAGATCTGGATCTTGTTTGTTTTGGGCAGGATCTGATTCTGGAGCGAACGCCTGAAATACATGGTCGGACTAAGCACGGATGACAGAGCCAGGAACGGCGCAAATCCGTCTGCGCGTGTCTATATAGCGTTGACTGGACTCGGATAGATTGCTCGAGCTTGGCGGACGACGCTGGTGGTCCGCTCCGCGGCGAGGACTCGGACTGGATCGTCGACGGCAAGTCGACGGCGTGAGTCCGATGGACGACGATTGGGAACGTGCGGCGGCGGAGATGACCGGCTCGCACGGCTGTCAGCCCGCCGGGGTGCGGGGGCGTGGCGGGATGAATGGAATCTGGAGCGGTCCTTCAGGGGAGATGCAAGGTACGACCGCTTTTCTTTCTGCAGTCTGATTGAGGAAACATGGTTCGCTCGTCGGATCCCTTATATGGCGCCCTCATCCACCGCATCCGTCCCAGCTCCCCGTCGAACAGCCCTTGCACTCACCCGCACACGCACTTAACGCACCATGGACGCCACCGCCACCTTCGAGCTCGACCAGCCCATGCAGCTCAAGGGCGAGATCATCGACTTCGAGTTCACTCTCGGCGGCGACGTCGACCACAGGAAACGCCGCAGAAACCGCACGACCCAGTCATGCCTCAACTGCCACACCTCAAAGCGCAAGGTCCGTCCATCCATCTTCATCTCGGTCTCTATTTACCCAACCCTGTCCTCATCGTCATCTGTGGCCTTAGTGCGACCGCAAACGGCCTTGTTCGAGGTGCATACAGCTCGGCCTGGTATGTTATCGTCGACATACCCCCGCTATCGCCCTCCTCTTGACCCCTCTTCTTCTCTTGTAGACCGGACTGTGCGTGTACGAGATCGACGACCCCGCGTTGAGGTAGGTCAATTGCCCTTCTCGACGCTTCCTCCCCGGCGTCTAACGGAAGCAAAATTTTCTTCTGTGCGCGCGCCTCAATCACACAGAGACGACCCGAACGTAGATGAACCTACCCGTCTGCGCAACCGCATCGCAGAGCTCGAGTCCCTCGTCCGCGAGCTCAGAGGTATTGCTTATTCATTTCGCGCCACACTCCCACTCTGCAACGTGTTTTCGCTCATATATTAAACGCGTCATCTCCCACTCACACAGGCAAACCTCACCCGAAATGGGCCGACTCGTCCTTCTGCGAGAGCGACCCGAGCGAGAAATGGCACTCTCGCGCCTCAAAACGTTCCCCAACTCTCCCCTCATCCAACCCCTCCTCCATCCTCTCGCCACACTCCCACTCCCACCACTCCTCCCACCCAAATTCTCACAACTCCCTCAACCATTCCGATAATCTCCCGCTCACGAAACGAAGACGATCCTTCCAAGACGACCTCGTCGGCGTCGACTCGAGCTCGGGCACTTCCCCCACCTCCATCGGCACGCCTATTCAGTCTGATCCTGGGCAGGGTGGTGGAGGCGGTGGCGCACAATATCCGTATAGGTTCACCCCAAGCCCCGACTCGAATGCGAATGTGAATGGGTCGCCGTATCAGGGGTATACGAATCCGTCTGGTGGAGGTGGATACGGCGCGGATCATCAATTATCGTATTCGCCCGCTGAGCCATCTTCTTCGTCGTCCTTCACGTTCCCACCACAACAACAATCGCATCTCCACCACCAACAACAATTCGACGGTGGGAATGGCGCAGGGTATCGACCGACGGCTACGAGGGAGGAATACGAGTATTGTCCGTGCTTGACGAACCCCGCGGCTAACCAGTCGTTCATCATGCTGGCGCAGCAGGTGCAGTCGGCACTGAGTCTGTTGAGGACGTTGCCGGAGCATAGGACGGGTGGTGGGGGAGGGGGGGAGATGATGATGCAGTGTTTGATTATGAGGAGGATACAGGATGTGCATGAGCTTCTACAGTATGTCTTCCCTTCGTCCCCTCTCTCCCCCCTCATCGTCCATGGTACTCGGGCTTATCTCGTTATGACTGTGAACAGCGGATCGAGTCCTTACTCACCCAACCCAAACGCAACTCAAAACCAAAACCCCAACCAAAACTCAACAACACGCGACTCCTCCTCCCTCTCTCCCTACGAATCCACACACCCCCGTCCCCACCCTTCTCACCCTCACCCATCTCACCAACAACAACAACAACAACAACATCCCTCTCACCCCTCCCAACGCCACCCACAACTATCGCACCCACACCACTCCTCCTCCACCGATAGTCTGCCACACCAACTCCACTCCGATAATCTCTCGCGCCAACTCACCTCGGACAGTCTCTCGCGTCAACTTACCTCGGACAGTCTCTCGCGCCAACTTACCTCGGACACCCTCTCACGTCAAGGTCAGATACCCTCGTCGGCGATGGCGGACGATGTCGAGAGTGTGCTTTCTGCGTTTTCGGGCGGGAGTTCGGGGCATCGGTCGCCGTTGGGGCAGATGCCGCCGCAGATGGGGAATGGGCATCATTACGGTGTGAATGGGCTCAATGGCGTCAATGGGAACGGGGGAGGGATGAATGGGAGTGGGGTCAACGGCAACGGCAACGGGGTAAACGGAGGCGGAAATGGGAATGGGGGGTACGGTGGTCAACAACAGCAGCAGCAGAACCCGTATTTTCCGCCGTTGAGACATGCGCATTCGCATTCGCATGTGGTCGGGATGCATGGGCAGGGAGGACAGGCGGGGGATGATTTCGGGTTGATTTGATTTGAGTTTGGGTTGGGTTAGGTGGGACTTCTTCTGTGTGCATTCTGGAACTGTGGATGACTTCGTGCGTTGGACGCAGTTGGGCTTATTGTCGTCATCGTTGTTGTTGTTGGTGTTGGGAACACTGGTCTTTCTGTTTCTTTATTGTTAGTTGATGATTGTTGTCGTCTATCCTCTCTTTCTCACGTCTGATCTTTCTCACGTCTATCTCATCTCGTCCGCCGCTTTGTTGTTCTCTGTCCTGTTCTTGTTCTTGTTCTCTGTCTTATCTGATCCCCATCGTGTCTTTGTTCTTGTGTCGTTCTTGTTGGACTCCTATTGTACGATCTCGCGCCCCGTCTGTAATTCACCCACGTCCCTTCGTACGTACGTTTATTCATTCATTCATTCAATCTGCATACACGCTTTGACTCCTCCTTTTTTCTGACATTTCACGGGGACCGTAGGATCTCTCATTCTCATTCTACACTTTCACTTTCAGCCTTATCTTTTACCTCAGACTCTCGACTCTCGACTCTCTTCTGTGCGTCCGCCTTCCGACTTTGACTTGACTCTTGTGATCCGTGCTGTGTTGTGCCGTGTTGTGATAAATACCTGTACATCGACTGACTATGTACACTCTCTGATGCCTCTGCCTCTGCTCCATCCACTCCCTCCATACATACATACATATACGAATACGACTACGAATAGAATACCTGCGTTGATAATAATCCATTCATCCTTTGGTCTTGTCCTTCCGTTTGATTATTCGTGGGCTTGTGAGTTGGTACGACTAGATAGTGCAATATAGACGATGCATTTCTTCGCACCCGGAGGAGGGTTTGCATGGGTCCGAGTTTTAATGCACAATGGCGAGGAAGGTGTGATCTGTTCGTTCCGTTTGTTCTGATGTTCGAGCTCGGGCTTATGATCCAGATATCCACCCTGCATCTACCCTCTACCTCTGTTCCGCATCAGGACTCAGGCTCTTCCCTGCCAACACGACACAAGTATGTAGAGTACAGCAACAGTTATCCTGCTCCTCTCCTCGTGTCCTGCATCACCCGACACCCGACGCCGATTCCGATTCCGAGACTACTCAGGGAAGAGTCAAGCTCGAGAGGGGTCCGAGGCTTCGATGCTTTGTGAGGTATGATATGCTATGATGATACGATACGATATGAACTGTCACCCGTCGCTTTCACTATCCGAGTCGCTATCGCTGTCTTCAATGTGTATTGGGTATGGACATCGTTATTATCACCTCGATGGAGCATGAATATAAATTACTCTACATAATGATGAGGGATGGAGACCGCAGTGCACGGCGACTCGGATGCGATGTAAATGTAATGTGTACTCTGTCTATCTATGACCCTGCCTGCATCCCAAGACATGGACTTGGCCGAAACGGAGCTCGTAGGGTATGTACGGCGATGCGATGTATTGAGTGCACTATCTATGTTTACGAGACTTGGACTTGAATTGAATGGAGGGCGGAACGGAGTGATGATGATGCTGGGGGCTGATGATGGATGGATACTACTATTACTATTACTATTACTATTACTATTACTATTACTATTGCGATAGCGTCATCGTCACGGCGGTCGGTTGATAGCACGATGATAGTAATAGCTCGTCGAAACGAGGTCTAATAGCTTCATCGGACGGCGGAGCACTCACTTTACTTTACTTAGCCCAGGGACGGGAACACTTTGGCGGGAGGCATGTGCAGAGTGAGTAAGATGAACGAGAATAGGCTGACAGGAGGAACTTAGGTATGTATGTAACGAGATGAGGAGAGATGAGCCTCGATGGGATGGAATGGGAGGGTACTGGTGCACGGCTCCAAGGCTGAGGGTGACCTGACCGATGAGTGAGAAGCAGGAAGTGAAGAGAAGAAGGAAGAGGCGAAGAGGCGAAGAGAAGAAAAGAAAAAATGATGATGATGGCGGTGGCGGTGGAAGTGCAGCTCGGCTGGCGACTGCCATTGCCTATACTAGCGATCCCTGTCCAAGTTCCTTCGGAATCAATTAACGGAAACCCATCTTAGGGATAGCGAGTTCTCGTTCCGAGGGAGGAACGAAAAGGCAGAAAAGAGAAGACGACAGAAAAGAGCAGAGTAAAGGGCGAGGGAAGGCGAGGAAGGGTGATGGTGGCGCTCGGCTGAGAATGTTTGGGGTGGCGAGGGTACAAGGACCGGTGCACTGTGGCCCCCACCTCCCGCCTGCTCGCACAAATAGACGAAATAATTGCCGCCCTTGAAACGTTACAGGTTGAGTCTAAACCCTGCGGGTTTGAAGATCCTCTCCCTCCCGAGCGCGATGAGCTCACCTGGACACTTGAAGAAGATAAGAGTAAGTGATGGGATGGCAGGAGGTTGGCAGGCAGAATACGGAGAGGTATTACGGACGTCTGAATCTTGGAAGTGTCTGTTTGAAAGAGGGCGCCCCTGGTGGGGTGCAGCGAGCGATGCTGAGACCAGAATGGTGGCCAGGATTTCGATGAGACTTCTGATGGATGCACTTGTAGGGTGCTCTCTGATATGAAGCCGGCCGTCGCAAAACTGGTAAATGCAAGCTTGTTTAAGTTGGCACGTATGTATGCACCTCTCGCGCAGTACCGAGAACGCGCGTCAGAGTTCTTTATTTAATTGAACACTCGGAGGTTCTGTAGAACGGAAGAAGGTCATCTCCAGCAAGACATCAGAACGTCCGGAACGTTCACGGAGATGGACGAGGGGCGGGATCTCTGAGCCTGGCTTTTGGCACGGTGGGCGGATGCAACCTTCTTTTCTGATTTCATGAAAACAGAGACGGGTGTTCACTGACAATGTGCTGCACAGTCTATGCATGTTCTCTCTTATCTTGTGTCAACGGAGAGAGATAAAAAAAAGTCTTCGACGTTCCAAGCGACGAAGAGCTTGAGAAAAGGGAAATCAAGCACGCCGAGATATCGCAGGTGTTATGAATCGGAGGAATTTACGTACGAATACGAGTTCCGGATCCAGGATACTGAGAACTCGGTTTTCTATGAGCTTGTTCGGGAGAGATGAGGAAAATGTAGCTGTCCGAGCATACCGAGATAGTTAACTGGTTCCACACCCAGGTTCAAGTCCTTCAAGCTAGCTCTCTCGCTGGCACAAAGCTGGAGATATGGCTGCTGCAGTACGCATACAGTCTGACGAGGCTAAAAGCGAGTAAAAGAGACAAGTCTGAGCGCAACGCCACAATCTAATTCAAGACTGAGACCAAGACTGAGAGGGTATACGCATAAATGCAAAACAAAGTTGGCTCTAAAGCGTAGTCACCGTTGGGTCAGAAGAAGGAGCATGGCCCGGTGCGGGCCGAGAGAGGGTCGCGGCGACATTGATGTGCGCCGAACGGGTAAACTCTCGTGGCTTTATATGCATTAGGAAATGCCGCAGAGATTTGGAAATTCGTCAGTTTAGTTTGCTGTCCTCTTTCATCTCCCGTCGCTCTCGCGTCGTTCTCGACAATTCACTGTAGTCTCGTTCTTGGACCTCTAGATAAGCACACAAGCCCTCGGAGTCGAGGAATATGGTCTGTGCGCCTCTGCTTGACTCTCAGTGGCGCTCGAAGCCATATGGAACCTGTAGCACTTGCCTGCTGTCGTAAGCTTCTAAATCAGAGCTCGAGCTCTAGAGAGGATAGAAATGGTCTTCTACCACACCGTGCCAGTCCATGCCGTGCGCTTTTTCTTGGGAACTACCGTCTGGTGTCTTGTACGTGGAAGCTGTGGCGCTTGCCAATGATCCACGGACGTAGGACTCGGTCATGCCGACTACTCACGCTCTCCCCGCATCATGCATCACCACTCAGATCCTATGAACGTCTGCCTAACAAGGGGTATAGTTATCTTTGACTTCATCAGTAGCAGGTCGATCTACTTGGTGCTCTGGACTCGAATGGTACAGGACAAGTTGTCTCTGGTCACGTACAACATGTGGCTGATAAATCAATCAAATATCGACATCTTCGTCTGCGAATAAATGTGGAACTTATACCGCCAGAAGGTACGCTCATACACCAATATATACCCTTTTGGCTGGGACTCGGTCATTCGACTGACTTTGAACACGGATGGAGATGGTTGAATATTGATAGCGAGCGACCAGAAGAGTTCCGTGGGGAGCATTGGAGTGCGAGTTAGTGAGACGACGCTGGCAAGCTGCTACCGTTAGGACAAATGTTTTCCCATCGACTCTGCTATAGTCACATTCAGATAAGCGACCTGAATGGCGCAGGACGAGATCGGGGCTGCCTTGGGCAGGTGTATTTCTTGGAAGAACGTGGAAACGGGGCGGTTCGATTTATTTTCTCTCCTTGTATGCTGCACCAATCTGACTTTCTGCAGGACTCAGACCTTTGTCCATGAATGGAACAATATTCTAAGCGGAAACAGCCCTCGAGGTTGCCGCAACGGTCAACCCGAGAGACGTCGATCGGGACATTGAAGGTAGAAGGTCCATCTCATTATCTCTCCATCTTCCGCTCAAGCTCGTCCGATGCCCGCAAGATGTCTTCCGTTTCTGGTCTACTCTATATAGCCATTTTGGTATGTAGCATCTGGACAACATCTCTGACTTTAGAGTTGTATGAAGGGCGATATCATGTTACTACTATCGGACCACTCGCGAATGATTTTATGAAACTTCTTCAACTCCGCAGCGTTGACCCTTGAGGTGCGGACAGCACGTTATGAGGTCAATGCATATCATGGATGGGATCACCGTATGTGGGTCCCTTCCGGTGTACGTGAAGATCGTGATGTTCTTTGTGTCCGCATTAGGGAGTTACTTTCGGACTGAGGTTATATCGCCCTGGCTGCTGCCTTTCCTGGACGCGATGTCCCTTCATACGTATGCTTTCCCCGATATGATGACCTTCGAATCCGGCGTCCTCGTGCTAAACTGCACCCGTAGTACGCCCCATGCACCAGGGTGCTCAGAGCTGTTCCGGCCCATGGGCAATAAGTGTCGAGAGCTGCGTGTGTTCATTGACATCAAATTCAAGGAAACGTGGCTCCGAGATGAACCTACGTGCGTACGTATTATGTGTGTTTTTTGGGCTTGGAGCTCCAATCACAAATGTCTCTGTCTGCCATTGTAATTCATTCAGAACTCGGAGGCATCATGGCAAATTTTCTCCCTCACCTCCTTGCCCAGCCCTTGTACTCACTCAGCGGCAGCATCTTCTTATTTTCCAGAGAGTATCAGTCCCATTCAACCTGCATGATCCCATCAGAGGGCCGCTCCTTGCGCACTCCCCGACCCACTGACCCATCGCGCTACAAGTGAAGCCTCCCCCAACGGACGCCCATGCCATAAAAAAGATCGACTTCTACCCTCGCACCGGTAAATTCGATCCCGGTCTACCACACGGCTGGAATTCGCCGATTGGACCCTGTAGACCCGTACCGTGTTGCCTATCCCAACCTCAAAATCCATATCCAAGTCCCATCTTAAACTCACGTACGTGGTCATACTCTCTATTCGGTTTAGACTAGGGTCCGAGCTCTGAGGCCGCAATCATCCACACAGCCCATCTTGTCGACGTAGTGTATAATTACTCGACTCCCACCCCTCGCCGCGTTCAGCCACTGCTATTGACGTGACCTTCCTCCTCGACCGGCCAAGGAAGACTGTTTGCACCTCTTGGGTTTTCAACATTCTCAGCGCTCGACTGGACAACTATTCTAACGACCGTACCGGGGTCTCGTGTTACCTGTCGCATGCCCATCGGTCCAAGTATCATGACAGTCATGATGCATGATGCGTGATGTGCTGGGCCCTCTCGACTCTCGCGAACGAAACTATCAGAAGAAGTGTAGGCTTTGGAGTATCACTGGCAGGTTCGTCAGCTCAATCATCCTTTACGAGAATCAACATCGTCAGCTAAGGTTTTGTGCCAAAGCACTCGAGAGCCGGATCTTCGTATTCCGAAGGAAAAGCTCTTGCGAGCGAAGAGCAACCAACGAAAAAAAAATTGCATCGCCTCCGGCGTTTCACCGAGGGAAAAAGGCTTGCAGTATAGGTCGGTTTTCTTCTTGGGGCTCAGCATTCGACGAAGTTGTGGACGGTGCCAGTTGACAATGAGGCGAGTCCAGGTGTACGCCGGTCTTCACAAAGTGGTTTACGCGGATGGGTGTCCCATGGGGTGAACATCATCTGCAGGGTTTTACTGAACCCGAGTAATCCATGCGGCATGGGTAGGAGAACCCTCCGTGCGAAGATCCATGTTCGTGGGTGATACCCGCTGTAAACGGATACATTGCCACAGAAGACATACTTACGCCACACGAAATACCGCACCAACGATGTATATCCTTCCTCCCAGTCACAACGGAGAACAGTACATAGGTGTATTATTCATGCACGAGGACCACAACCAAATCGTACCATGCAACCAAAGCGTATGTACCATAGCAAAGCAAACAGATGGCAGGAACCAGCAGAAATAGAAATCACCAAGCCCAGGCATTCCCCAGAAAGATAGAGTGTGATCATAAGGGGAGCCACGAACAACGACGCCAACCCAAGCTCGTGAAACAAGACAACAAACACATCGTAAATCACTCGTACGCTCGTATCATAAACCATCGTAAAATAATACAGAACCAGAGACGCAAATCACCCCCTTCTATGTCTGTCTAGACGGGAACTGCGTTCCCGTTCCCCTGCGTCTCCGCAAGTCGCATGACCTCCATGAGCAACGTCTGCTGCTCAATGTCCAACGCAGTCGTCGCAAGTTGATACGCCTGACCGTTCTTCGCTTGGAGGCCTTTTGTAGAACAAATCAAGTCAGTTCGCAGCAGACAGCAGGGAAGAAGTGGAGACGCACTGTTCAGAGCATGCTTGAATGTGACGTATGGGTCAACGGAGTCAAGCGGGCTGAGGTATCCAAGTTCCTCTTCAATTTCGTCGTCTTCCAGATCCTCTTCGTCGTCACCGGCCGATGAAGAACCGATACCCTGCGACTTGAGACGAGCGTTCTGTCATTCGAGTCGTCAGGATAGACAGCATAACGAATAAGACAATAAAACGAACAAAGCCCACCTCTTTTGCGAGCATCTCAATGTACGCAGAGTCCTCGTCCCAAATATCATCTATGAATCGATAATTTTCAATATCGGTTCAAAAGCCAGAAAAGAAATCAAGTCGACTGACCATCATCACCATTCAAAGCCAAAGCCCTCGTAATAATCTCATCGTCATCCTCTTCCTCTTCCGCCGCCTCCCTCATCTCCGCCTCCAAAGCCTTCCGCGCTAATCCTATCCCTAAGCTCAACTGGTTCCAACGACAACAACATAAAAAAGAACGACATACCAGCAATCGCCTTCGGCAGGTCCTTGAACACCTTCAACGCGCCAGCCACAATCCCAGGCCATCCCTCTCTCACAGCCTCCGGGATCGCATTCGGCTCGACCTCCATGAGTGCACATAGAGCGACGATGGTGAGCCTCTTGTCGTGCACGCGGGGCAGCTTGTTATCGGAGTTGATGGCGGCGAACCATTTGTCGAAGAAGGTACGGGAGGTACCTGGAGCGTATTGTTCCATGAGGTGGAGCGTGGCGGCAGGGTTGTAGAGGACTGCGTTGATGAGGACCTCGAGGTTAGCGAGTCGGAAGGCGGCGGTCTCGGCGGAGTCGATGTGGTCGAGAGCGGTCTTGACGATGGGTTGAAGTAACTGGCCCAAATCACGAATCAGTGGACACGTAAAAAAGAATAGATATAAGATGATTGGCATACGTCGTCAATGTGGCCACGAAGGTTCAACATGAGCGACTCAGCGACCTTGGAGCCGTTTACACGGTCGTTCTCGCCAAGCTGTTCGCTCACGATCGCCGTCGTATAGATGTCGGCTACCATCTGCCTGTAATCCGGACGAGACTTGAACATCTCCGTGCCGTAAGAAACGAAGTTGTCCAGGGCCGGCAACATCTCTGCGAAGACACCGGGGCGGTGGAATTTGTATTAGTATTTGTATTAGTACGGGTGCTATGGTTGCCTTCGAAGGACATACCATCAAGGAAGTCAACGGCATCAGACTTGAAGAGGGTGTAGGTCATCTCAAAGACCGGCCACATGTTCGGCGAGATGGACTTCGTCCTGAAGGTCAGCCCATCGACCAGATCGTACATGTTGTCGAACAGATCTACATGTCGCCAAATCGGTGAGCACCGCCGTCAATATTCGGACATAGATGGATCTGGAGGAAAATGAAATGCACGAACCCAAAAGCTTGTTCTCAAGGGTGAAGGTGATGATGGGAATGACGACCTCCTGCACTTGTTGGAGGATCTGGGCGGAGGAATCTACGGACGAAACGAGCTGCGGAATCCGAAAACGTTAATTGAGTTCCTTGATCCAAACGCAAAAGCATAACGAAGCGAGCCATCGCAGCGTCCTCAAGAACAAAGAAGAAAGGAGAAAGTCAGAACTTACCGTCCCGATGGTCTTGGCCATCCCCATAGCAGCGTAGGTCTTATCCTCATCAGTGTCTTCCATGGCGGACTCGAGATCCGTGCCCTTGGGTATGTTTTCTTCCTGAGCAAGCGCTTCTTTGGCCAACCGCATGTAGGAGTCGCACTACAACGAAAAAGAGCAAAAGTGCCGATACGGTTAGATAAAGAAAACCCACGAATGCATTTTATGACGACATGGCATATTAACTTGAACTTACCAGGCGTGCAGCGAGCTGAGCAGCGACGGGCAGGAGCTCCTCCTGGAACTGCTCCACCATGGTCTCCATGCTGCTGTTGAGAATGTCCAGGTCGGTGTCGTCGCACATTTTGAGAAGATCTGAAACGAAACGTTCAGCTTATCAAACTATGGCCAGGGGCAAAAGTACCAACTGACCCTGGATCACTTTGCCGACTTGGGGAGCAACTGCCTCCTTCACTGTAAGTGCATGCAATGTCAGCGACTGCACCGTGGGATGAAGTTAAGTCCCTACCCGAGTCGTGAGAGGTGATAAGCTCGGTAAGGGCCAGGGCGGCCTGGATACGAACAGGCAGCTCTGGGTCATCGAGACAAACGCACACGGCACGGAAGTGGTTGATGAGGTTCTGCAACACATCGCATTATTCAGCATTGAGATGACCAGTAGACTTAGATATGGACGAGACGTACTTCCTCATTGTCCCACTGGATTGTGGCCCTCTCGACAGTCCCGAGCACTTCACAGGCCTAAAAAAACGGAGCGTACAGTCAGCCTAAGAAACATGAACGATAAGTTGACACTTACGATCGCTCGCAGGTAGCCCTCCGGAGCAGTGAAGCTAGGGAAGACATGCTGCCTCATGAATTGAGACATGTTGTCCTTCACTTCCTCATGACGCATGATCAAGGGCCCGAGAGCAGCAATCATGTTCAGAGCACCGAATCGTTGAGGTGGAGCAGGGTTCCTGCACCACAACAAGTGGTCAAAAAGGGAAGTGATTGGGAGATGAAAAGGAAAACGCACGAGTTCAGGACGTGGTTGACGAAGGTAAGAATTGGCATGAAGGTCGTCTGCCCACGGCTGTTGGCGAGCTGCAAGAGGAACGTGGTGGAAGCTGCGACCGGCGAGTTGTACGTCTCGTACTCGTCTACTTAATTTAATGATGTCGGGATTCAGACGAACAAAAGGTCAGGTGAAATTACGCACCAACAGTGGTGCGAACGTAATCGACGGGGTCCGTGTCCCACATCTCCTGCTTGGCCGGAGTGAACGAAAGGTTGGGGAACACGTACGTCGACACGAGCGTCTCGAAATGAGGCTTGAGCAACGCCCAGGTCGCTTTGGGCTTGACGCTGTAAACCTACTCTTCAGCTTTTCATCGGCGACATCATACACGAGATATACTCACCACTCCGTAAAGAACTGGAAGATCAAGTACTGGCACTTCTTGGACAGCCACGACTGGCCACTCACGTATCTCTCGGTCTGCTGAAGGTAGACTTTGAGGATCTCGGGTGCGAACGCCGTCACGAAGTGCTCTGCGAAGGTTCCGTACTCTTCCTTCATCGTGCTGGGCAACTGACTCGGGTTGCCGTACCTATGGAACAGCCTGCCGAGCACACCATAGGCCCACTTCTTCGCTTTCCACCACTCGCTCTTTTCCCTTTCGTCCTCGTCCTCGGGCACGGCACCCGCTGGGATGTCGAGATTCACGACTTGGAAGAGGAGACGGCCCCAAGGCACGAGAGATTCCGCGGACTGTTGGTGTGCGCTGAGATTGAGGATGATGGAAGATCGGTAGGTTTTGAGGATGTAGTGGAGGATGGCGGGGATCTCCGCTTCAGCGCCGGCGGGAGGAGAAGACAACATCTGGGAAGCGAGAGTAACAAGAGTGGGGAAGAGCTCGACAACAATCTTGGGTAGGATATCGGACTGCTGGCGGAATCTAGAGGAGATAGGGTCAATATCACGCCACTTGAGGTGCCACTCCATTTCACGTCCGCCAGGACCATAAGATCTCCACGGACGGACGCTTACCGGAAAGCCTTGACCATTTCCAACACCACTACGGTTCCAGCACCGACCTCCCTGATATTGCTGCTCGCAAGCATGTGCTTCGCGCCGTCCATCAACTCCGGCCACTTCTCCGGGAAGTCATGCGAGACGAGCGTTTTGAGGGTAGCAGCAAGCTGGACGGTGATGCTCTTCGAAGGAGAGTTCGCGAGAAGAGGGAGGACATGGGTCTTGAGGGCGGTGCGGTCTGAGGGCGGGATGGGCTTGTGATCTGGGCGGCCTGTATCAGATTCGAGGCCATACGAATGTTGGACGCGATTTTTGAGCCAGATGGCACAGGCTTGGCGGATTGCACTAGGCGCTCAGGTTAGGTTTGATTTCGGGATGAAAAACGCGTCTGACACGTACAGGTCGACACTGTCGGCGGCGATGATTTGCAGCGAGGCTGCGATCATGCCCTCCTGGCTAGCAATCTAGGATGCATGGCAATGTGGTAAATCGATCATAAAAAGTAGACGGTATTCTATAATTTGGCCAACCCACTTTTCTGATTTCAAGCTCGCCCGCTTTTTGTACATTAGGATTCGGGTTGAGGGTCGTAGCGAACAGATTGGACAGCGTTTGGAGATCCATGACGCGCTGATGAACGCGATAAGAAAAATGTGAGGTCGATGCCAGTGTTGACGAGAGAGCAAACTCACCTAACAATATACTGAGCAAATACAAGGGTATATGAAGGTGGTGGTAGAGAGCAAAGAGTCGGAAACGAGGAAGGGGTGTGGAAAAATTTGAGGTCAGCCACTGCGCGTGGCCTAATTTATGGACGCGTCCCGGCGAACGCGTCTTTCGTCACGTCGCTTCTTTTGCAAACCCCACCCGAGTCAAACCCTGTCAACACCCCTTTGTTCTCGGTCCCTTTGCATGCCCTAATCGGCACCATTCCGAGTCTCACAACTGGCCTATTCGCCTCGAAGAATGGTGTCACCCTACCAGACGAATTGCGATCCTCTGGACCAGAATTCGAACACTTCGGCACCCACGGCAGACGAGGGCTTCTCTAAATTTATTTCGTTACACTTGTAGCACGCACTGGTGGATATCACTCTGGACAAACAAACCTCTTTTCCCGGACGGTAGCTGGTCTCTTGGCTCACACCTCCGAGTTTGACCTTGACCCGACACAATCGATGCGCCACAGAAAAGTCTGTTATTCGGACAATGCATGACATATAGATAACTCGGATATTACACTCTTGGTAGTGGGTCTCCTAGTTTTGTTGCCATGCGCAGTTGTCAGTCCCGATACTCGTCTCACCCGATGTGCCAGACGGTGGGCGGAACTTGAAGGAATTTAACGTTGTGGCGACAGGGCGCCACAACAATGTTAGATCGCCTTCGTAGTGGCCATGATATTATTTGTGCCATTCGCGACCGAACATGAGTTTTTTTGTACCAGAACAAGGCCATCTTCGCTTACATTGGTCTCGAGCGTCGAAGCGGTGTCTATCCGTAAGCAGCCACAACGCGCTTTGACCGGACGGCTTAGCCGCGTTTGGCCAAACAATGGAAGGCCCCAATTTGACCCAGGCCGCAGGCGGTGTCAGGGTCCACACCGTGATGCTTATAAAGGCGCGTCCTTTCTTCTCCTTTCGCCCCAACAATCGTTCTTCTCTCCCACCTTCATCTCCTCCTGCTTTGGCACCAAACACAACAAACCAACGTCCACGATGTCCTACAACACACTCAAACTCCCTTCGGACTTGCAGCATCGTGCGGATCATCTTCGTCCAATCAGCCCTGGAGCCCCCACTGCCGGTTTAAGTTGGCCCTTCCCGCCTGCCTTCTCCCCAGGTCCAGTCATGTCCGAACTCAAACTCCAGTCGCTCCGTGCGCAACGATCTTCTGAACCTCTCATCACTCCTCCTCCACCAAGTCTCACTGCCAGTCTTGACACGACGAATCCTGCATCTACCACACCCGACGCTTGGTCCGATAATGCCACATCCCCCAGCACAGGCCTCGCCGGCCTCATCGAGCCCGGAACCTACGTCGCCTTCCAGCTCTGTCCCTCCATGATCACCGAGCTGTATCCCCATGCGGCCGAAGCCATCCACACCTTCCAATACAAGAAATTCGTAGGCCTCGTCACGGACGCGTTCATCCATCTGGACGAATCGCCCCTTGAGGAAGGGAAGAAGGCGCGATATGTCCAGGATCTGGTGGTCCATTACGTCTCGGCTGTTCCTACCGATCCGGTTGTCCTTGCTCGTGTACCGATGGAGGATTTGGCGAATAGGATCCCGATTTATCCTGCGTCTGCGGTACCCTCTGATGCGGAGGGACAGGATCAAGGACAGGATCAAGATCAAGAGCAAGATGAGGAGGAAGTGAAGGTGAAGAGCGAGCCGCTGCGTACGATGACCCTGTTCCCTTGGGCGAACTGCCATCAGTGGACGACTCTCGGCATCCGGCTTATGGTCCTCGTCGAACATCTGCATGATTCCTCGCTGAAGTTCGCGCTGCACGAGGAGGAATTCGAGAGATTCAACGATGTCGCCGCCCGGGACCTTCAACGTCCACCTCCGGTGACAGAATCCATCGGTGTCAATGATTCCGCCAACGATTCCTCCAGTAAGGTGACCGGTCCCGAAACTCATGACGAGGACAGCGATGTCGCCAGTGACGGTCCGCCTAATAGTGAGGAAGGTGATGCAGAGGTGGCGATGGGTGACCTTAGGGTCGGAGACCACTCAGTCCCAGCGGAAGTTTGGATGGATGTGAGGGAGGCATATCCAGACGCAAGGGATGACCCGATCGGATTTCCCAGGGAGATCATGAAGTTGTTACGGTGAGTGCCCTCGACGATGTTTTCAGTCCTGATGATGGTGCTGATGACGATCTGTCCATTTCTGCTTAGTGTGATAAACGAAGCCTGCGAAGCGGATAAGGAAAATCGGCAGTGAAGCGCCTTGAAAGCGGACGGAAAGATACAAGTGAAGGTGAAGAAGAAATGAACGTCTGAATGTCTGTCTTTGTAGGATATTGTGAATTGTATGGAGAAGATTTATCAAGTTATGGCCATTTGCATGCTTTGTTGCTGGTAGCGAGCTGGGTGGACCGTGACCGCGACCAGCGATTGTGGCGTGTCGGTCAGAATGTGGCACTCGACCGTTTACCGCACATCCTGTGTCTGATTAGACTCAACGGTGAAGCCTTTTGAATGGCTATAGAGACACGTTTCTGAACGAGAGCAGTAGTAATGTTGGCAACACATTTTTGGGAGAGATCAAACAATGAGAGGACATCCAAATAATAAGTATGCAAATGATCTATCGTACAGCGTCTGACTTGTGTTATTCCATGATTCCGCGCGTCTATGACCTTTATCAAATAGCAAACCTCGAGCAAGACCAAGAGGAATGTCATAACAATTAGTCGTGCATCGTCAATATCACGCCTCATCAGCCGGAACGGATTCCTGAGACGTGACCTTGTGCAACCATAGCGGCCCTACGCGCGTTACGCCACACAGACAGTACAATAAGCTGATGGCCAAAGAAAGGGTAGTAATAAGACGCACCAACAGGATCATATGGATCGTGGTTGGCCGTGGTCCAGGCGCCAAGCACACCGAAAGGCGAACAGACGCTACCGACCTGGACGCCTTCGCCGCTGTTGATTGAGTGGTTTATCAGCGGCACAGCAAAATGAACAGACAAATTGAACACCTACCTCCAGGTGGCTTGGCCATCTTCATCGGATACCTGAGGGGTATCAATCAGCGCTGACCTCACCGCCAGTTTCGTGTGTCGAGAAATCACTCACGAAGTGCCACCTGATTTGGTCGTCGTCCGTCAAGGAGACGGTGCCGACCATGACATGTTCGTCACTTAATTTCCCTGCGAAGTGAATTTTCGGTCGCGCAGGGTGTTCCAAATCTTCGTCTGTAGATAGGACGTGAAACTGAACGCTGACTTCGCGGAATATCTCGTGGAAATCGTCATCGGAGAATATAGATGAGTCGAGGGGTTGGGTTGAACCGCGCTGGAAAGAAGTCAATGACCATCGAGATCTCGAGGGAGAGCTGAGCGTACATTGAAGTTATTGTACACTACATGGAGGGTGAGAAGCGATACGGTGTCGTATAGGGGGAAAGAACTCACTGAGTAGCTCACGGTGATCGATGAAGCTGAACCCACATTTCCACACCCCTTCTACGCCAGCCCAATCTCTGCCTTTCCCGAGGGTCGACCCACTCTCCAACAGTGGTTGACAGAAGGTCGAGCTCAATGGATAGATGGCGTACTCGAATCCGTCCCCTTCATTCACCGGTACCATATGCAGCGACACCGTATGATGCAACGCCCTCACATGCTCCCAATTCACCCTTCCGCTCCCGTCCGCCATCCACGGCCCGAAGTCGTTGCCGTATCGGTACTTGCTCAGATCGTAGACGTGCGCCAAAGACCGAATCCTATTTTCGAGCAGGAAATCCGCCGGCGTGAGCCCATGATACGTGTGAAGGCGAGCGATGAGCTGGGATTCGTTCGGCGTGACGTCCGACCAGCCGTGGTTGTCCAGAAGAGTGCCACGACGGAGCATAGCGGCGATCCAGAGCAGATTCTCCGAGATTGGTTCCCTCAATACTGGATGTGTTGGTGGTACGCGGGTTGCCAGTCGAACTAACGTCCCGAGTACTTCTTCGCGCTCCGACGGCTTGCATTTGGACGGCTCTTCTACGATAGTGCGTGCCCGAATGATTCGTTGTAGCTCGTACCTCCAGTCGAACTCCGTTGGCAGTGGGTCTCCGAGATGTGTTACGCACTGTCTCGGGTCATCTAATGGCTGAGCGAGATAAAGTGCTCTCCAGAGAGATTGGTCGGGTGAGTTATAGATCAGAAGGTTGAATTCACGGCAGGTCTGACTGAAGGATGCGACTTCGGTTGGGTCGAGTAGCACGAGGATCGTTTCAATCAGCTCTGGTGGTAAAGTATGTATTGCAGAAGGCATTCTAGATAAAGAGAGACATATAAGCCGTCAATTATCTGGAAAAATCGATGTAATGTGGGTCTCATTCGGCATGACAAGTCATTACACTCACTGTAATTTTCGTCGTTATATACGACTTACCTCTGCTCATATGTTACAGACAATCACAATAATACTAGGATCTGGCAAGACTCGGATGTCGTGGTACGGTGTAGAAACCGAGCTGAAGCGCGAGAGGGGCGTCTAAGTTCCACTGGCAACGGCCGTAGCTGGTCGTGTGGCACTCTGTGGCCAAGAAGTTTCCTCGTGCTTCTTTGCGAAGCGGCCGCCTCACACAGCTTCACTCACTCACTCACCTCCCTTAGCCTCGCAATGAAAATCCAACCTAAAGCCAGAGAAGAACACATAGAACCACATGAAGATTTGGGAACTGGAGCCTCACTCGGCCCCCCGATGTGCGTTCATTTCTAACAATCCATGGCTTGAACGTGATCGATGATCGCTGACGATGTTATTACGCTGAACCAACGTCCGCCTATCGTATACTAGATTAGGTACCTTGAACAATGAGGGCCTAGTGACAGCAATTCAACATCAATCAGAACTTATGGAAGAATTGCTGAATGTACAGAAAGAACAAGCTGCATCGTATAGTACGTCCACTGGTACCTCGAATATCTGATGTCCATGTCCATGGCGGAGGACGTCACACCCAGGCATATCCATACAGCCAGAACGCACTTATCTGACTGGTTAACTCGATAAACGACATTTATTCGGATAGATGCACTCTCGAGAGACATCCTCGATGTCCTGAAGCAAACGTACAGCAGGCAGGTGACACTTGGTAAACTACTTATGCTCTTCTGCACGCGTACTGTACCCACTGAAGGAATACACTTAGATATCTCCAACAAGGCCATACCATCTGCCCCAGCCACTAGCTCAAGTGGTTGGTCGCCTTTGCTTCGCGCCCACTTGGAGCGTATTCAGCCGACGGTGGATCGCTGGCGTGGCACACTGGACACTTTGCTGGTCTTCGTGAGTTCGTAACTTCTTGGCTGTCTCCGGCATATCTGATCACATATCACAGATCGCTCTCTTCTCCGCCATCGTTACGACGTTCTTTGTCCAGTCTCTTACTGGCCTGTCACAGGACACAGGAGCAAGAACCAACGAGCTCCTTCAGAACTTTACTGACATATACATTGCCGTCAATGCCGCTAACGCATCACAGCTTGACTTCTCCCCTCCCGTTCAGTTTGAGCCCGAAGGTAGTGCTGTGAGACTCAATTTCTATTGGTCCATCTCACTGATACTCAGTGTCAGTATTTCAATCCAAGGATAACTCTCTTCGAAGCCTAATTACTATCCTCTTGATTTCTAGGTCTCGGTAGCTGCTCTTGCGGTGACAAGCCGAGGATATGTGGCCATGCTGTCCCGTTCCGAGCATCGAGCAGCTCACCAAAAACTAGGTGATTTACACCGTCGCTGGGCTCATGCTGAGCGATTGCTCGCTCCTGCAGTGGAGCTGCTGCCGCAACTATTGATCATACCAGTCCTACTCTTCGTCGTGGGCCTCCTCGACAATATTATATCGAGCGCCATCCCAATCTCACGAGTATTCCTCCCTATCCTTGTTGCTGGACTATTGTCTTGCACATTTGCCCTCGTAGTTGCTGTTTACACTGGATGGACCGTTCTACACGGTTGTCTCCATCCCGAGATATCGCCATTCCAGTCTACTCTCGCGCAGCTCATAATCAGTTACGGTACCCCGTTGCATCATGCTCTAAAGTTGACTTATGCTTCTTTGGTGGTGCACTGGCGGTCATGGATGGGGGCACTCCTCGACCTCGTCGTAGGCCCGCAAAACCACGCCGATCGCCCATGGAACTTGATGGAAGCCGGCTCGACTACTCATATTCCCCCGCGAGGAATTGACGCGGAAACTGCATTGACTGCTTATGAGATAGATGCATATCACTCTGCCCTCCAGCAAACACACGAGGATATTATTGTCGATCAGGCTGCAGCTATATTCCAGTCAATTATCCTGCAGCAGCACCCAGTAATACAAGACCGTTGGATAACTCAGAATGAGTTCTCATCCTTGTGCTACATGCTTTCTGATGAGGCAAGCATTCGTACAAATGCAACCGCAGCACAGTTCATCGTGGACTTTAGCCATACTCCCTCGCGATGTAAGGCAAAGTCCCTCTTAACCCATTGCATGTTCTGAGTCATCTGAAACTGACATTCTGGTCCATCATTTTAGATCTTATATTTGTGCGGAGACAGTGCATCCTTTTGTTGAGTCTACTAGTGAAGTCTGCGAAACGGTATTCCTTCTCTTTGACTGGAATGGAACACAGCCACACTCTTTGGAAATGTCCTTTCACCAGTGCTATGCTTTCTGCCGTTCAATTAGCTGTGCCCCAAGCCCACGATATGAAATCGATCTTTGCAGATGCTCCTGTTGTAGGGCTCCTCCTATATGCTCTGCCCATTAGCTTGTTCGCAAACACGGATCCTACGAGCATATCATCTCATGAGCTGGATATCATCACATTTCTTCTCGACATGGTGCGGAACAAATTGATGGAATCAGTCTCTAAGCCTTTGAGTAATATATTTGGTACTGGGATGGTGAGGCTTGTGGAGCCTGGGCGGTCCCTTCTTAGAAACGGCCATGTAGTCAGTTTTGATAGTGCTGCTCACACAATTCTCACGCTCGGACTAGTTAGTGATCTCCAATCTTATAACGTGACTCTGCGAGCTCTTGTACACTGGGTAGTGGAGCAGTCTCACGAAGCACAGTTCGATTTTTCCGGGTTGGCACTCAAAGCCCTATCCATGAATCTGGATCGAACATTTGCCCAATACAGGACTGCGCCAGACAACTACTCTTATGAAACCAAAAAAAGGCTGGTCTGGCTTTCTTTTCTATGGTCAACCTTGAATTCTTCCTCCGCTAAAAAATATAGCCCCATTCATCCGCCGAATCCAGAGTGGTGTGTCGACTTGCTCCACCTTTGCTCTCTCACAGTACAGCTCTTCAGAGAAGCTGAGAATGTGGAGAATGGTGACGTGTCACGCTTCCTCCACGGTGGCGGCCTCCTTCTCAGGCATCGACCCGGCTCCGGTCCACATTCTCCACAATGCACACCCCTTTGCTTCTTCCGCTCAGATATTCGTCACTCTCTGCTTCTCATACATGAAGGACATCCTACTCTGCGCCTCGATAAAGGTTCGTGGAAAAGTCTAGTCTCCGCACTCGGACAGATGGCTGCAGATATTTCTGTACCGTGGACCGGGAACCCCACTTGGTTACAGCAACAGTGGACACCTCCTGCTCACCGCAATGGGATACAGAGGAGTGTCCTAGAGATGCTCCGTAAGTTTTCGCCTGACACCCCTGGTACATCCATCTATTTTATTACTACTTACCATGGATGGAGATTGACCCAAGATACTGGCTCGTTTTTTTTTCAACAGTGACGACGGTAGACACAAATGACGCTCCTGGGTCGGACGTAACAATTCCATGGGAATGGCTCGAGGGACCTGACCTTGGTCTAGTGGAGGAGCCAGAACATGTCGAAGATGCCGGACTCGAAGGTTAGGTGGTATAAGGGATCGGACGGGGATGTCTGTCTTGCGAAGAACCGGAGTTGAGTGTGACGAATCTTTTTTATCCGACTCCTGGTGCATGAGTTTCCTGTGTAATATCTTTCGTTTTTTTTTTTTTTGACATTGTGCAGCTATGCTCGCAGAAGCTTCTCACTGAAGGGAAAGTCATCCCCCTCAGACTCTATCGACTGGGATAAGCCCATGTTGGTGGACGGGCTCTATCATATACCTCACCACGACTTTCTATTGTGAGCTTCTGTGTCCCAAATTGTACACTGTTTCATTTCGTCCACTGGTTCCTGCCCAATCGACCTCTGTCTGTTTCTCTCTACCATCTGCCAATCTTTGTACGTTCGTGTCGATGCTTGCCAGGTCTGGGTTACTCACATTAGACCCATGTCTTCGATGTGATCGCAGCACATACTCCTTCCAGACGAGCGTACTATTTGTGTCTGACTGTGAAGCTACTCATCAAAGCGTCTCCTATGTATCAATTTTTTCTCTTCGCTGTAATGTCCGTATAACACACTTTGTGTAATAGCGCCACATCATCTTACCGGAGATACCTTCTCTTCTCAACAAGTTCCACCAAATACAAGATTTACATCGTGAGTTGAGATAATCGAATGAGATGGACGTACGAGGCGTGTTGGTCGGTGTGGCAATGTCAGAGGTCTGAGGAGCACGAAGTGCCACCCTGTCCTCGTGCCTCGGCAGACGCCGACAACTCCAACTTTCGGTCAAGTCCAGCAACGACTGTTGCGTTGTCGACTCCCAGGACAATACCACTACTATATCCACTCGTTCGATAGCCCCAGCTCGTCGGAATTGGCATTACCAAAAGGCCAAGGCAGTCATATAAACAACTGAGAGGTCCCAGCTTCCTATGTTCATCCCTCATTTTTGACATCATTCGTTTCTGCACGCTTCTAGTGAACAATATGGCGCGAAGCCAGCCCTGTCTACCCGAGTCGTCCGTTGGACCATCAGTGACAAGACAAGGATGAAGCTCGTTTCTTCGTTTCCTGGCAGGGCAGAAGTCATTCATCCCACCCAGTGTGTCTACCGTGGATCGAAGGATTCGTAGGAGCAGGTATTATATGACCCGTCCGACCACTGCTCGTCTCTCTATTTTTCTCGGACTAACAGAGTTGACATCTACTACCACTTATCTACCCTCCGAACCGACCAACGACCAGAAACACAACGCTGGCCGAACCGACATCGTCTCATCCTACCGAAGTCAGCTTCCGAACCTCTCGAGTACCTCCTTCAGGTTCAAGCTCGCCGGGCGCAAACCTAAGTAGCTCTTCTAAGAACGTATCCTTCCGGTTTTGAACAATGAACCCCAACTCATCTCCTCTACACTCTTTCGGGTCTCAATCAGCTCGAGTGACCGGTCCACCATGACTTCGGACGACATCAACGTTGTCTACCGAGTGATCGGTGCGCGCCACTGTGGCGTCCGTACGAACTTCAACCCCCTATTTCGCGATCATCATATTTTTCCAATCCTCTCGTCAGTTACTTTTGTTACTTTCCTCGCTCCATCCTTCGCAGCCATGTTCTTCGAGCTGTGTCCCTTCCAAGGCCTGAATCTGAAGCTCCGACCCCGAAGTCTCTCCGTCGAGACTGGTAGCCGTTATCTTTTCCTTCTTCTTCCCCCCTCTTGACTTCCTTCTTCACCATCGGACCATGTCGACGACGAAGTGCACATGTACTCGCAGATATTTATACGCTTTTCACCCCTCACAATTGCACGTACCTTATTACTTACACCTCTTAACGCCCAACGATGCCCATGGCCAAGCATACCGCCGCAAAGAGCACATGGAGCAGAAGACACACCTTATGCAGCGCTCAGGAGTAGTACTTCCTAGTACGAGTATGAAATATATAAACCCCTTGAGAACGCAATAACGGGTGCTTTCCATTCCGTCCCTCCGCTGATTATTTGGTTATAATTTCTGGCGCTCCCCTCTATACTCTCCCACGGTTCCAGCAAGCATGTTGCTCCCACTCACGGTCAGCCTCGTCGTCGCCGCGCAGGCCATCGCGTTGGACGCGCCGAGGGGACAGAGACTGCATAATGCGCAGAGTGTGAATCTATGGAAACGTACTCAGGCTCGGTCTAGCGTTAGTACCACTACCTCTTCTGCTTCTCTCTCTACGCACGACTATGTGGATTCGGGGGTGAACGTGCATGCTGGGCAGGTCGCTTTCGATTCGGAGAACTTGGAGAAGAGGACGAAGGGAGAAGTAGGGAAGAGGGCGACGTTCCCGCAATACAACTTCACGCAGCCTTTGGATCATTTCTATGGCTCTACGAACGGGACCTTTCCTCAACGATACTGGGTACGTTCTCCTCCTCCCTCCCCTCCCTCTCTCCTTCCCACCACCTCCCTGTCCATGAACTGACGAGATGAGGTACAGGTAAGCACGCGACACTACACCCCCGGTTCCAACGCAACAGTGCCTGTGATCGTGCTCGACGGCGGCGAAACGAGCGGAGAAGATAGGCTGCCCTATCTCGATACGGGGATTGTGGATATTTTGGCGGAGGCGACGGGTGGGGTGGGGGTTGTGCTCGAGCATCGGTATTATGGTGCGTTTTGTTCTTTTTTTCCCATTATTCTTTGCTCTTTGGTGTGAAAGTGGAGGGGAGGGAGGGAGAGGGAGGAAGAGGAAGAGGAGAGGGAAGAGGGATAGAAGAAGGGAGCTGATATTTGTGTTGGTGATTTTCAGGCGACTCAGTCGGCGTCCCAGATTTCTCGACGGACAATCTCAGGTGTGTTCTTCGTCTGCCCGTTCTCTCAAAACATACGTGTACCCTCTTCGGGAACTCTGCATCCCTATACTCCCTATACTCTTGCTTCTTACCCTTACCTCGAGCGTCCTTCTAAACCTCGAAGGGTTGAATGGTTGAACGTCCCACTAACCCGCCCCACCTCGCACACAGATGGCTCAACAACGAACAAGCCCTCGAGGACTCTGCCAACTTCATGCGCAATGTCAAGTTTGAAGGGATCGATGAGGACCTCACCGCGCCTGGAACGCCGTGGATTTATTTCGGCGTGAGTCTTCTCCTTGCTTCTGTTCGTCGGGAGTCTTCTCCCTGCCTCCGTTCGTCCCGGCTCACGAATACTATGCTGAATGCTATATGTGCTACCCATCCCCGTAACTGTAACTGAAACCGAAACGAAAACGAACATGGACAGGGTTCCTACGCCGGTGCGCGCGCCGCACATATGAAAGTCCTCTATCCCGATATCGTCTATGGGGCTATTGCGTCGAGCGGTACGTTACCTCGCGTTTGAACACCCAATACTCTGCTGATATATCCCCGCACTCTGACGACACCTCGCACAGGCGTGACCCACGCCGCGATCACAAACTGGGAATACATGGACGTCATCCGGCAGTTCGCGACGGTGGAATGTTCGGATAATTTGGTGCAGACGGTGTCTACTGTCGATAAGTACCTCGGTGCGTTCTCCTCTCTCTTGGGTTCATCCCATTTCTCCTTCCAATATCCCCTCTCCCTCTGGCTATGGAAACTGATCAGTGATGTCGTTGTGATGTGGGGTATGATGGGTGGGTAGGCTCGAACAACGAAACCGAACGAAGCGCGATCAAGGCGATCTTTGGGCTTGAAGATCTGCCGGACGATAAAGATTTTGCGAGTGTTCTCGAGGTGCGTTATGTTCGCTTTCGTGTCTATCTTGCATCTACTACGCCCTCTATCCACCGTTTTTCCTTTCGCTGTTTTCGCGCATTATCACGCCCACATGCCCACTCCTCGTTTATCATAACCTCACATTCCAATGGATAAACAACACCGGATTCTGACCCTCTTACAACCCATGTTCATCTCCCAATCGATAACTGTATAGACCCCCCTCGAATACTGGCAATCCAAGAACTGGGACCCAGCCGTCGGGAGCACCGTATTCGACGATTTCTGCACGTTGTTGAATAACGAGACTACCACCACCTCCACGAATGGCAGTGACAGTGTGACGGTGCAAGGGTTGGAGGTGAATAATGCGCTGGTGAATTATGCGGGGTGGATTAAGGACGTGCGTGTCTTTCCCTTCTCCCATCTTCTTTTGTTTATGCCAGCCTGAGTTGACGTATGCTGTACACTGTGGATGGATGCTCTGGACAATGAACGGTGGATGGATGTATGCGCTTTGAATTAATTGGACAACAAAAACAGAACCTCGTCGCCGGCTGCACCGGCACCAACACGATCGAACAATGTTTCGGCACACAGGACGAGAGCCAGTATAACGGGACGGACTTGTACCAGACGTGGAGGTTGTGGACGTTCCAGTATTGTACGCAGTGGGGGTATTTGACGGTGAGCCCAGTCGGGCATCCTCCCAGACTTGGTGGAGATAGCCAGATAGGTACTCACCGGGCCCTGCGTTTTATTTTTTTGGAATATATAGACCGCGCCGCCGAGCGACGATATCCCCGCTATCATCTCGAGGGTTTTGGATCTGGAGTATGAGCATAAGATCTGTGAGCAGGTACGCCTTTTCGTGTCCTTCCATCGTCCTCCCACCTTCCCACCCCCGCCTTCTGCGTCCTCGGCGGGTGAACCAAATGTTTAATGCTGACCTAAAATTTCACCCTCCCCGCACGCTTTGCATCTCCCCACTGAACCCGGTCGACCACATATTATGTACGGATGATGGATGGGTGGATGGCGACAGGCTTTCGCGCCAGGCGAGTTCTTCACCGTCCCGCCCCTGCCGAACGTCACCTCCGTGAACGTCCTAGGCGATTTCGGAATCGCGGCGGATAGGCTTGCGATTGTCGATGGGGAGAGTACGTCCTTTCCTTTCCTTTCATTTGTTAGCTTTTCGTTCGCCCCTTGTTTTTCCACGTTTTGCGTTCGCACCACCGGTTTCGTTCGCATCACTATTTGCGTTTCCTCCCAACTACCCTCTCTCTTTGTCGCTGTACAGCCTCTGTCTTGCTCAACGACCTTTTCTTTCGAATTATCGACGTGCATGGAATGACTGACGTATGTGTTGTGTATATGCACAGTCGACCCCTGGAGGCCGGACACGCCGCATAGCCAGTACGGAGCTCAGAACAGGACGGATACGGTGTTGAGGCCGTTTAAGCTCATTCCGAGTACGTGCACCCTATATCACATAGCCCCCTTCTCATCACATCCTCTTCTCATCACATCCCCTTCCCATCGCACTCTCTCCCCATTCATCCCACCCCTTCTCACCTTCTCACCTCCCTCCTCACCTTCCCATCTAACGCAACGCAATCCAAAACACACAGACGCAGTCCACCACTACGACGAGAACGGCCTCGCGAACCATTCCGCGGAACCGCCTGAGATACAAGCGATCCACGAGCAGGAAGTCGAGTTTGTGAAGGCTTGGTTGGAGGACTGGGTGTCGGTGGGGGCGTAGGGGCGTAAGTAGGGCACCATGGAATCTTTAGGACATCGGAACTGTGAGGCGTGGATTTATGGAAAGGAACTTAGATTGTTTTTGAACCAGTTTCTGCCCGCCACAGAATATACGCCCGCGTGGTGTTGCGACATAGTTTTGTTTTGCTCAGAGCTCGCCCGAGCACCATCGTTGTTTGCAAACGGCATACTCAGAAGACCGCGAGCGTCCCTCTGATGGACTTCGACGGACCTGGGGCAATCTCGAGTGGGCGAGTCTTATCGCCACCGTCTCTCGTCCACCTTCGCTCAAACAAAGGGAATTAAGGATGAAATCTACCATTTGGCCAGCCCATACCTATACATACGCATTCTTCTACTTACGCTAGTGACTTGTCCGATCTATTGTACATTGAAACTTCATTCACGACAACCAAGCAACACTCTGGCTCCAAATCCAGCGAAGGGATTTAATTATGCCTCCAGGACTCGATATACCTGGACCAAAGATATACGTTAGTGGTTTGTCACCGGGAAAGAGGAATAGGATGTGCCAGTCGACAAGTAAACCGTACCTTGATCAATCCACTCTTCATATCCTCCAGCTTATAGCTCACCGACTCCACCGTCTACCCAAACCGCATCAAATCAGTCTCGTACACTCCAACGACGGCCAGAAAAAATAATCACTCACCGACTGCCCAACATGCTGGTTCGCCAACAACGCCCTAACCTTCATCTTCTTCCCCTCAAACTCGCTCACAACACCCGCACACGCCTCCGCCCCCGCACCCCCCACCGTGACATTATACGCATGCAAACCCTTATGTCCCTTCAACTTTGCCTCCTCCAGCACGATGATATCCCCCGGCATGATCTCGCTCGCGCGCACCTGTACCGCCGTACCGCTCTGTGAGTATATGAGATACCCGTATTCGTTCCACTCGCCAGACTGTGTGGCGGGAGAGACACGCGCATTGGGGACCTGCGCGAGTACGGCGGATACGAAGCCCGCGTAGGATCCGTTCCCGATCAGCGTCTTCTTCGACTTTTCGTGCAGTGTAGCCGCGACTTCGCAGAGCTGGACACCTACACGTCCCCAGACGGCTTGGAGATCGATGGACGACATCTCCACCGGAATGGGCGCGACGCCGGTGGTGCCGGAAGCGGAAGGCGCAGGAGGGAGAGGGTGGGCAGGAGAAGATAGGGATTGTCTCTGTAGTTGTTGTTGAGGGGGAGCGGCATGAGACGCAGTTGACGGATACGCCGTCGAATCCTCGGACCACATCGACGCCGATAAATCGCTCGTGGCGCCTCCGTCCCCGAAATCCAACCCTCCACTAGGAATCGAAGGCAGCTCCCACTGTCCCATTTCTTTCTCCGGAACACCTGGTGACTGAGCCTGCGGAGGGGGAGGGGGGACAGGAGCAGATCGGGGTTGCGGCGGACGGGACTGTCTTGGTGGAGGCGGCGGCGGCGGGACTTCATCCTCGTCCTGCTCGACCATGACGAAGTCAGACTGGGGCGCATGTTGAGCGCTGGGGGGTGCGTGTCTTGACCCTATAGACGTGACTGTATCATGCGAACCACGACGAACAGGCGAACGAGCAGCAGAAGGATCGGAAGGTCGACCGATGCCAACAGGGACCGGAGGCCTGCCTGTAGGGACTGGTGGTCTCCCTGAACGTGGAGGTGGAGGTGGAGGAGCTTCCTCTGGCTCAACGCTGTCTTCCTCATACTCAGTCGACAGCTCCTCGTGTCTCACTTCCTCCGCCTCGCTTTCCTCCGCCACAACTTCTACGCCATCATCATCCTCCGAGGCACTAACGTTCTCGTACTCCGAATCCAGCCGTTGCGGCGGAGGTGGCGCACGCAGTGGAGGCGGGACAGCCCGCGCAGGTGGCGGCGGCGGAGCAGGCTCGTCTTCCTCCTCATCTCTATGGGTCGGTGGAGGACGCGCAGGAGCTGCCTGAGAGGGTAACATCCCGAATCTCATCCCTCCCATCCCCGCAATCTTCGCCGCAATTCTCTGCCTCCTCGCCTGTTCATCCTCTTCTGTTTCCTCCTGCTGGGACTCTTCAGCCTCAGCGCGGGGTTCAACTTCGCCCTCAGGATGCCCATGGGAGACTTCTTCGGCTGAAGCGGGAGCTTCTTCGGTTGCAGGAGGTCTGCGCATGGGAGGTGGTGGCGGTGGTGCACCGAATCTGATACCGCCGAGCTTGGCCATACGTTCAGCGATAGTCCTCCGGCGCGTTTGTTCCTCGTCTTCTTGAGATCCAGTTTGCGTCTCAGGAGCAAGAGCCGGATGAGGCGAGATCGGGGAAGTGGCGGACAGTGGCGGAGGAGACATTGTGCGCTGGGCACCGCTAGTCCTACGACCGGTGGTGGACGTCGGAGGCGATGAGGGAGGTGAAGTATGCACTGGGGATTGATACTGTTGAGAGTCGGTAACGCCTGGTGTAATGCAGGGATAACAGGAGATTCCATGAGCAGGTCGGGTGTGAAGATCATATACGAACACGCACCTCCACTACCAGCAAGAGCGGCCGTCAAGCTCAAATGAGGAACATGGCCCTGCATACTCGAAGCCCTCGAAGGCGGACTATGGAACTGTGGGTCAATCGGATCTATACCCGCCAACAGCGCCAACCACATGAAGAGATGGAGTCAGTTTTCTTTCAACCTAGATAACATAGAACGAATGCGCACCGCCGTCTTCATCATCTAGGACCTCTTTCTCGTTGGCCCTCTCTTCTTCCTTGTCCTCTTGCTGCGCCACAGGAGGGGGCGGCAGACCAGGCGTCGGGGCGGCCCTGGCAGGCGGAGGCATCGACGTCCTCTTCCCCGCAGACCTGGGCGGTGGAGGTGGCGCAATCTCTTCCTCCTCCTCCGGCTCCTGCACCTCCTGCATATATTCCTCATCGTCGTCAGCTTCAGGTGTCGGTGGAGCGATATGAGTAGGCACAGCTCTCGCAGGTGGCGGAAGCGAAACCCTCTTCGGTGGTGGGGGAGGTGGCGGCACTGCTTCCTCTTCTTCCTCAGAGGAGTCTTCGGGAAGGAATGAACCTTCGACTGGGGATTGTTCGACAGCAGAACGGGAAGCGTGTGGAGGTGGAGGTGGACCTCCATACCCGGGAGCAGGAGGAAGCGCACGAGTAACCCTAGGCGGAGCCATCTCCAACTCTAAATCCTCTTCTTGCTCTTCCACCGCGTCTTCGTAAGACTCTTCCTCCGGATCCGGGTGCGGTGGGAGAATGGGAGGCGGAGGCGGAGGATGAATAGGAGATCGAGCGTGGGAAGAAGGCGCAGCGTCAGAGTCGAGTGTGTGGACACGAGGTGGTTGCGTAGCCGAGACGGGGACGGGAGCCTGATGATGAGCGCTCTCGACCTCTTCCTCACTTTCGGCGATATCGCGGTCGTGGTCTTGCTGAGGGGGAGGAGGAATATATGAAGCGGCATGTTCGTGTTCGTGGCCGTCCTCGTCTATTCCTGGAGTGACATCGTCTATTTCTGCGTCTTCGGAGTCGACGGTATCGAATTCGCGGTGCTCGTGTGTAGATCTCGCGTGAATATCGGGCTGATGTTGACGATCTGGGAGAGGAGCAAGGAGAAAGGGCCAGAACAAAAATATCAATAACTGCATCGAGATGTTGTGGTGGTACATACAGATCGAATCAGATCAGAGCATGTATTTGTGAGGGGATGCAAAACTTCGGATCCAAAAGGAGAGGGATTGAGCGGAGAGGGACCAAAGAGTTTATACACGAAAAGGGACGAAGAATACCGGGGAAGAGGGGATTGAGAGCCAGAGAAACGATTCAATACCTACCGTCTTCCCCGGGCTCAGCCCGCGCGCCTTCCGTTTCTATGTCGTCCTTTGTCTTCCGCCTAACAGCAGGCGGAATCCCCATACCACTCATTCCACTGTTCTGCCTCTTTTCCTCCCTGGGCGACAACTCCGTCTCTTCGACATTCACGCTGGCCTTCCTACTCGTACCAGGCGAAGTTACAGCAGGCACGCCACCGGGTCGAGGGGGGGCTCCGAACGGATTAAACCCACCCATCTTCGCGACCCTCTCCGCGATCCTCTGCCTCCTCGTTTCTTCGGTCTCTTCTTCCTCTTCCTCTGGTGCTTCAGCCGCAACTTCCGTCTTTTGTTCCTCGGGAATGACGTCCTCTACGTCCGGAATGATCGCTTCCTCGGCGGCATCGTGCTCTTTCTCTTCAACCACGTCTCCGCTTCGACCAACCGCAACAGGTTCGATATCAGCCGTATACTCCTGATCCCTGACAGAGTCCAACTCTGTCTCCGGTAAAGGCTTGGCCTCGCTCTCTGGCTCGTGTGGCGCCTCGACCTTCCGGGCCACATCAACCTCCGGAGCATCAGGTGACTCTGGTCTCGGATCCGAAGACGTCGATGTCGTCCTCTGTGGAGGTGGCGGGATCGAAGTCGGAGTGCTCCCCTCAGCCGGTACGGGTACATCCTCCTTGTCTGATCCCGTAATCTGCTCGACACTCCTCCCTACCTGGCCCACCTCCGGCTCCCTGTCACCTCCATCAAGCCCCTGAACTCCGACCGCATCTGCGACAGTATTGACCGCAGAACGAACACCGGCTAGTAAGGTGACGCCAGGGGAGGTGTGGAGTGGGCCTCGGAGGACAGTCTCTTCGTCTTTATCCGCGGTGGCGGCGTTAGTGGTAGGCGGAGAAACGGCGGGTTCTGTCGGAGCGTGGGTAGAGCTAGGAGCTGGCGTGGTAGAGAGAGCGGCCTGCGTCTCCTCCGGATGGTCCACTGTGACCGACGGTGAACCTTCTTCCCCATCATGCTTCGCATCCTCTCCCACAACCTTCTTATCCTCCTCTCCCTCCATACCGTTACCCTCAGCCACCACCACGGACTCGCCCAACTCCTTCGGCACCTCCTCAGCAGCAGGGGTGACAGCCGCAGAGGGTGGCGCGGGAGACTTGGCCTTACGACGGGGTGGAGCCGCTCGTTTCGGAGCGGCGGGAACGGGCATGGAGGGCGACCGGGTTGCGGCGCTGCTGCTGGTGTGAGTGGAATCGGCGTCATCGGAGGGGACGGTGAGAGAGGTTGTTGACTGGGATGCGGGGATCGGGATGGGGGCAGATATTGCTGTATCTGAATTTATGATAGAAGATGGTTTAGAATCGAGTTGGGATCGAGATTGGAGTGATAGGAGAAATGAAGGTGGGGGTTGCATGAGTAAGAGGGAAGGACGTACCGAGTGGGGAAGAAGTTTGTGGTTTGGGAGATACGATTGGGGCTTCGATATCGGTCGGAGGTGGCGAGACGATGGATGGAACTAAGGAACAAAGTATTTCAAGCATCAGTATTGTGTTTAGATGGAAGGGGGTCAAAATATGACAGGAATTGTGTCTCGCGCGGCGTCAAGCTGAGTTCGGCGGAAAGCCAAGATTCCAGAAGACAAGCATGTTTCTGCGCGAACAATGCACTGCTCATTTGTAGACGACAGTGCATGACACCAGATCGAAAAGAGCATAGAAGGAATGAGCAAGACTCACCATCCGAATCCTTGCGTCCCGTAGGCTCCTCTCCAGGCTCGGCCGCCTTCCCAGTCACAGAGACCGACTCTTCGTCGACCTTGTGCGCTGGGTGTGCGACCTCAGCCTTCGTCACAGGTAGCTCGTCTCTATTAACCTCGAGCGATGGTTTCTTTGCCGGAACGGCTGGTTTCTTCCCGAAGATAGGCGGTCCCATACCGACCCTCGCACCACCGAGCTTAGCCATGCGCGCAGCAATAGCAGCCCGTCGCTGTCGTTCCTCCTCCTCAGGATCCTGCTCCTTCTCTCCAGCCTCCTCCTCAGTAGCTGCAGACATCGGTTCTCCTACCTCGACAGCTGGAGGTGACTTGAGACTGCCCTCAGCACTAACGGGGGCGAGGGACGGCGACGTCACCGTCGCCTCTCCAGCATCCTCCTCATTGTCCCCGACAGCAGGTGCATGAGCGACCTTGGGCGGCGGCTTCCACTTCGGTTTATCGCCAGAAGGTCTAGGAGGTGGTTCTGCGGGAGGTGCACCGCCGAACGCACCCATTCCTTTCAGAGCCGCCATACGTTCTTTCAATGACCCACCCATCCCGATACTCTCCTTTGCATCACTCGCGCTCATTCCACCCACCTTTCTCACACCATGCGGCTCGTCTGAGGTCGCACTAGAGGTTACGGCTGCATCAGGGGTAGCTGAAGTGGATCCAGGGGGAGAAGTAGCAACGGGCTTGGGCTTCCATTCGCGCGGTTTAGGACGTGGAGCTGGGGGCGCTGGTGCTGCCTGTGCCGGCCCTTTATTCTCGAAAGCTGCGATGCGGTCGCGTAAAGAGCCTGGCTTTGGTCGTGGGGGGTCAGACATAGTCGAAGACGAGGGTAAACAGGCGTGCGAACAGCTGGCTTCCGCACGAGGCCGTTGCTGCTGGGATATGCCGACGTTCCCACGGAAGCGTAGATACTTTTGCCACACATGTGGCGACACTTCAGTCAGCTATGCTTTTGTTGTGCCTACAGCAAACCTACGGTCACAAAAAGTGCTTCTTCATTAGTGAGGTATTACAAGGGAGAATCAAGTATTTTACTTATGATGTTATAAATATGGCTTACAAAACAAAGCAGGAACAAAGAGTTTTGAGAACTAAGACTCAAGAGTCATGTCAAGATCCTAGTAGCATAACAACTATAACACAGGGAAAAACATCTTTTAATATACATTGGTACCTTCAAAATTGTCCTAATATCTCCGCATAGTTAAGCAACCCAAAGTCCACATCCATGAGATCGAAATTGTTGAGAAACTCAGCTGATTCTGATATTTCCTGGTCTAGTAAAGATTATACAAGGAAGGTTTGGTAAATAAGTAAAATTCAGGGTGTCAAAGATTACAAATAGAGAATATTCACCTGATGCTACTGGTGATAAGACTCCAAAAGCTTTGAGGACATTCTGATTAATTTTACTCCTATGTTCTTTAACAGTAGCTGGTGCATCACGAGAAATATTTCTCTCATGAGTGGGAGCTTGATATATGAGCTTTGTAACCAGCTTGTTCCAATCATGTATATCTAAACGTAATGCCGGAAATTTCTGATGAATAAGCTTGATAGAGGATTGTATCAATGCCTGAAATTCACAGAGTAGAAGACAATCATGGTTTTCTGCAAGTGTAGTTATATCCATTGGATTGCCTGACCTCCGGTAAAGTGATCTGAATCTGATATTATCTATCTCAGACATCTGTACAAAATCGATTAATCTAACAAAGACCAGAGCAATATTTCTCTTATGCATGAATAGCATCAGTTCAATATGCTGAGCTGATAATTTGGACAGTGAAGCATGGAGTTCAGAAAGCAGGTGCTTCAACCATGTGTACTCTCCATAGATCTTATGATTATCAAGCTCACTGAATTCAGACATTGCCATAATATCAATATCCAAACATGCCTCTGAAAGCCCAATAGCTACTTTATTCTGCTCCATCGTTGATTTTACAATACAATGTAAGAATGCATAATAAGCCTGAAGGGCAGGTTTGTCCTTTGAATTGTAAAGGGTTGCACCAATTTTGGCTGCATTTCTAACTGAAGCTATGTTGTCAACTTGTACATTGTCAGGCTGCCTAATCTTCAAGAACCCAATCAATACCAGCAAGAATATTCCATGTGTTATTTCATGCTTCTTGACATTCTTTGCACTACTCACAATCTGAGAGTGCAGTATATGACAAAGGAACAGTATCAGAGTTTTCAGCCAACCTGGCGGATATAAGGAGTGCACATTCTTAGGTCGTTCTGATATAGTCCAGAATAATATTGCTACCACAGGATCATCTCTAGGGGATTTCTGCAAAGAACACGACATGCGTGCTATGGCAGTAAGAAATGGTGAATCCCATAAAACTGCAGAGCACCTATGTCCTGTGGTCAAAATAGAGTAATGCTCAGCTGATGTGACCAAAAGCATCATAAGGTCTACACGATCCTGTTTAGAGTATCTATATACTGGAGATACAAGTATTATAAGCATGATACACATTGCTAAAGTAGGTTGTTTTAGTTGTAATTACTTACCTTCATCATAACCTGCAAGGAATCTGGCAGCCGTCATGTTGCTTCTGATGCTGGCTTCAGATGATAGCATATATGTAATGGAGCAGATCTCAGGTGCGGTGGAATCCCATTGAAACATATTGCTCTCCGATGGATAATTGATGAGAATCGAAGGGAGAGCTAATATAGCTTCATCAAGAATCTCATCCTCATGTGTCTGCTTGAGCACAGCATGAAATGCATTGACCTCATGCTCTACTAGTCTGTCATCAAGTTTTATCTCATTGTGTGCAGGTGATAGTGCAATCATGGTTTGAGCATCTGATCTCCCAGTATTTGACACCGAAGCCATCTCTTGGCCAAGTATTCCATCAGTTCTGCTTGACTCTAATTTCAAGGAAGGAATCCAAAAGCCCACAAATGCTTTCATCCATGACACTACTACAACACAAAGCTTATGTCCATAATATTTGACAATATGTATCATTTGAGATATAGCGGATGCAGCATGTTGTCTGATCAAAGACATGATTTGAGGGACCAAAGACCGTAGAGATTGTTTCATGAAGGGGGTGATCCTGAGACACCAATATTTCAAATGCCTTCGCATGAAAGGTATAAATTCGTCTCTGCGAAGTATGAGCCGTGAAAGGGTAGATTGGAATGGTGATGTAGTCGGGTATAGACACCCATGCACAACAGTCCAGATCGTGTATGCACCGACAATGACAGCAAATATGGCAGACAATATGCCTGCGACCAATATCAGCGTGAAAGGCTTCGAGAGTGGGATGGAGCTCGAGATCAAGTTATCGAGCAAGCCCACGACAAAGAGAACCACGGGAAGCATCAACAGCTGCGGCAGTGTTTCAACTGCAGGACCAAGTAAGCGCTCGGCTTCGCCCCAGCGGCGGTATAAATCACCAAGCTTCTTATGAGCTTTAGTCTCAAGAGTACGCGCAATCATGCTAAGGTAGCCGCGGCTTGTAACCGCGAGGGCAGCAACAGAGATCTACGGTAAATAAGAAGAAAGGTGAGTCTACATAAGTACCACGGTCGAGAACGAAGTAAGCGCACGCTGAGGATGAGGGCGATGGACCAGTAGAAGTTGAGTCGCACAGCGCTGGCCTCGGGCTCGAAGGTCTGAGGCTCGTCAATGGTCAACGCGGACAGATTGCCGTGACCAATAGAGAGAACAATGCTAGTAAGGTTCTGTAAGAGCTCGTTAGTACGATCACTGGGGTCTTGAGTGAGACCGTCAAGCGATTGAACAAAAAATGTCGTGACAATAGCCGAGAACAGAGCAATCTGATTAGACGCAACGCAATCAGCCCACGACGAAGAGCGAAATGACTGTGCTACTCACGAATACCAACAACGTATCGAGTGATCCGCGCCAGCGATCAACAACGGGCTGCACCGTGTTTTGGTGTGAGCGGAGAAGCGCCGACCACGCGGTCGCGCTCGTCGCTGGCTGAGTAGGTGCTGGTTGATATTTCGCGAACTCTACGATGTACTGCAGTCAAGAGTCGGACAGCAGTATCTATGCAGCTGCACGTACCGAGAGCGTTCTGCTTATCGCGCATTTCACGAAGGACGTCAAGAATCTCCTGAGAGAGGGGGGCACCTGTGATGAGCGGTTGAGTCGTAAGGCGAACGATATCAGTGATCAAGTTGAGCGAACGTGTAGTGGTGAAGGGCGCACTTTTCGTATCGGCACCGGCAGTCTGTCCTTGCTTTCCAGCCATCAATTGCTCCATGACCTCTGTCTGATGCTTTATGGCTTTCGTCAAATCGACGAGTATCGCAGCACTACAGATGCGAATACAATCAGGGCCAACTCAGGCGGGCAAGTCGGTGATGAAGTGCAGAAAATCAGAGCTCACGGTGTATCGCCTACTGGGCCTTCCGGTTCAATGCTCGGAGATGCGTCAGGGTCGCTCATTGCTGGCTAGGACTGGTACGTGAGTGGGCTACGAAGTAGGAACTGTGGTTCAGTGGTGAGGGAGAGGAAGAGACAGGGAAAGACGAAGTCAGCGGCCTCTTGGCCTCGGCATGGCCTGGGAGTATCGATGACCTGCGTCGCCTCGCGGTATGCCATGCCGCAGATGCTCCAAAACCCGAGGAACGTTGTTCATACCCGTGATAATGCATCGAAGAGGCACGTGACGCTATAATTCACACATTTCAGACACTACAGACAAGATTGCAGCGTGCAGAAGGAGAATATCAGACAGCATTCAAGGAGAAGTCGGGCGGGAAACACACAGCAATAAAACAACAAGCGGCAATAATCACAGAAGTGAAACATTCATCGCACCTCACACTCACATCCCCAATATCGCCTTCACCCACTCCTTATCTCCCTTGACCCTCTCCGCAAAATAATCTCCCAGCACGTCTCTCAGCCGTCTATCAAGCTCCCTGTCCTCCTCACTCCTATCCTCCAACCCAATCATCATCCTATCCATGCTCGCGCCTCCCTCTTCCTCGAGTCCACACATCATCCTCAGCGCCCTCAAAACCTCCTCCCTTAACCCCTCGCTCCCGATCATATCCCTGATCCTTCCCGTGCCCTTCGCCGCGGTCAGCTCGTTGCCTATGACCTTCGCGCCGTTTTTTCCTAGTAGCCCTTGCCGTACGGCTTCTTTTCCGACGGCAATGAGGCCCATGACGGCGCCTTCGCGGGTGCCTTTGGCTTTGTTTACGCCAACGAGTCCGACTAGGAGGGTCTTCATGATACGAGGTGAGAGGTCGGGATAGGACAAAGAGTGTTGGGTCAGGAGGTGGGAAAGGGTCTGGGACGCGTGGGTGCGAATTGGGTTTGGTTTATTCAATGGTGTTGGTAGCGGTAGCGACGAGTAGAGGAGACTGGACAGAATAGGAGGGAGCAGTTGGTGAAGCTGTAGATTTGGCACCGTCAGTTTCGTGGACTCGACCAAAGAGTAACTCTTGATAGACGCACGTAAGGCTCGACGAATAAAGTCTGATTGTCCAAGAGAGCTGCTATAACCTGGAGGTACACCTCGAGCACCCTTCCGGTTTCATCACCCTCTCCGCTATCCGGACCCTCCTTCAATATCGCTATTACACCCTCTGCAACCCATCGAACAAGGTATGGCAGTAACGGCTGCAGCCCCGCATCGTGCCTCAAACTTGCAAGCGCCGCCGTCCGTTTCGTCTGATCGGCCGTGGTGGAAGACGGTGATAGTAGCGATGAAGTGAGCCGAGCGTGATAAAGCTGCAACTCCCTCGAAAGAACTTGTTTGACGAGCTGCTGCTGCTGTTGTTGTGAGTGTTGTGATGCCGCCAGCCGTCTCGCTCCTGGCGACGTAGGCGTCGACTGCCCCATCCCCGCCACAAGTCCGTTGACTCCGTTCTTCTGTGTACCTGCTCCCGGCTCGTCCTTTGGAATAGCCGGTGGATTCTCTGGAATGAGCGGCTGCACACCCTCTACCGCTAACCAATGCGCCGTCCACCTCACCCCGTTGTTACCGGTCGATAGCCTCTCTTCCTTCAACACCCTATCAAAATCGATCTCCTCGTCCTCAAGGAAATATACGGAGCCCGCGGCAGGGAGAGTGGGAAAGGGAAGCGCACGGCGGAAGGAGGGTGGGTTGTGTGGCGTGTGGCCATAGAGGGGTTCAATGTTCAGGACGCGTAGGGCTTGGTCGATATCATTGGTAGTCAAACTTGTTCGGCGTGCATGCCGCATAAATCGAGCAGCTTCCTGACCAAACCGAATGTATGAAATTTCGGGACAGGAGACAAAGGGTATATCAGAGAATCCACGCACCTCAATGACTTGGTGCAGCCGATACTCCACGTCGCTCGCGAGGTTAGAAGCAACACTCTCAGATAGATTTGTGATCCCCAGCGACTCTGCAACGTCCTTATGATCGACGCAGATGTCAGTAAACACGTGTAAGCAAGCAAAGGTTTGTTACAGACGCACTTTGACGGATTCAGCCTTGTACAGGCCTGCAGACTGAGAAGGGCCTGCTTTCAATGATTTACCCTTATTCATGGTGTCCTACGCTGGAGAATCTCGCGTTAAACCCTATCTGATTTTGTAGATATCTGGAACAGTTCGATGAAGGACGCGAAATTCGCCACTAGCGCTGAGGAGGGATTCGCGTGATGCTTGGAGGAGGATGTCGTCGGAAATGTAAAAAAATATGAGCCCTCAAATGTTTCACAGACCAGGGGCAATTAAAGATGGTTGACCTCGCGAGGAGTGTGGAGATGAGGAGAAGGAGATGGTGGTTCAGTGCAAGTGGGTAGACGCGTGTGTGGCACCGTGTCAAGTGAAACCGTGAGAATGTCATACCTGATTGGAACCTTTGGTTTGTCTGCTTTTTTCTCGGGTTGCTGCTGTTTCCTATCCTACCAGCATTGTCTTCTGTCCGTCTTGTCTGAGCACGCCCTGTCATGCTTGAATCGAGAACTGGTAGCCACGCAAGCTATGGTCATGGCTTTCTCCTCCATTTTTCATTTGCTGTCGGGCGACACCTGAACACCGATCGTGTCGACATGATTTTTCTTTCTATAGCTGCTTTGGCCACTGGGAGCTTGTTGATAATGTACCTTCGTGAAGCTGAGATGAACTGCTGAGTAGATGATACTCTTCACCCCTCAAGTTGTTGCGCTGAGGTTCAGTGCTATGCATGTAGTAGCACCGCTATGTGGCGCGATCGCTTTGCCCCTAGATTTATTGGCCAACGTTCTTTGTCCCTGCATACTAAGGCCGCCTAGTACTGTATCGGTCCCTTTGGATCGGTGTGTAGGACCGAGCATGCATTCAGCGGTGTGACGCTTTTGTACAACTACTTGGTCCTGCTCGCTGAATAGTCTAGTCTTGTACTTGTGCTCCGATCCACGTATACCTTGAGTCTTGTTGATACGACTTCTTCTGATGGCATGATTGCCAGGAACGCTCCTCGGAGCACAATTTTCTCCGTCTATCCTCAAAAACGCTGCACTAACTCCTCCATCAACAGCCTTCAATCAACGACGTCATTGGCCAGCATTGGCCGCTAGCCTGATCTCGGTATCGTTTTGAACCTCGTTTTCATCACAGGACTTATTTCACATGTTCTCCACTTTCAGAATACATAATGCTGTCCATGTCTACGTTGCCGTTGGGAACGAACTCAGCATATAAAGCGATCATGCTGCCACACACACCACTGCCTCCTTCCAACAATTCCACCTCCCATTAAATATCGCATCGGGCGCCTATTGACTATGGAACTCCACATCAATGAATCCAAAAAGAATCCTGGCGCTCTCCTATTCGACCCTCTCACCAAAGAATCCCTCTACCGCATCACAAACTCTCACAAACATACCCTCGTAACACGACCTAACCCAACCGGAGGAACAGAAGAAGAGAAGGTGGCAGATATCGAGTGGTCCATCTTGGGGACGACGCAGTTGACCTCGAGTATTGTGGGCGACGGTAAGCCTGCACCAGCAAAAACGATCATCGAAAGCAAGAGATTGGGCAGGTACGTATGTTGCTCTGCAAGGAACGATATTCTCTGTTCCGACAGCTGGATGGCGTTGTTCATGCAAAGGTTGTAGACATTATATTTTCTCAGGTCCTGATGGACGATCGTACCGCTGGAAGGAGAAGACTTCTGGCGGATACAAAGTAAGTCTCTGTCTCACATCCAGCTCAGCCCGCATACTCATGAGCCTCCCTCCACCTTTGCTTCACACCTCACCCAACAGCTCACGACGAATGACGACGCCAAAAACCTCATCGCAGAATACAAAGAAAAGAAGCAAACCTTATTCTGCTCGATGAAACGTCCCGCTCAGCTAGTAATCATGCCTTCTGGCACGTATATGATGGACATGGTGGTGCTAACGTTCGCGTATGTGGATAGAAGGAACACGAGAGGGAAAGAAATGGGGGAGGGAATCGGCGTCCTGGGAGAAGTGGTCGGGGCGGTTGTTGGCGCTTGATTTTGCAAGGTGCCGAGTTTTGGTCGTCTGTCCGCGTCCTGGGCTGTATATTCGTACGGTCTTTATTCACTATCTTTATACCCTATGCCGTCGACACTCTATTCAAGGGAATTTAAATGCTATGGGTGGAGGGAACGGTACTGGAGATGGCCGTACGTAACGTGAACGAGCCATATCGGCGAAGACTGGCCACTGAGCGAGTCTGACCTAGTTCTGAACAGCTGTCACGAAAACAAGGGTTTCATCGCATGCATGATCATTCCGTGGCAATGTATTGTCGTACTGCCTCAATTCAAGAAAAGGAAGTCAAAAGCTAAGTCACCACGACTGCACTGACATCACAGAGTCTAAGTCTGCGACCATTGACATAGCATGGTGCATCGGCATCATTATTTGGTGTCTCCTCAGGGCGTTGAATTGAGCTGCCAGGAGTGGAGGCTGAGCCTCGTTCGGCGCTTGGCTGTGTTGTGCAAATGCATATATACCCCTGTTCGACCGCGCTCCAGTCGCACTACATACCACACCCATCCTAATTGAAGATGGAACTTGACCTCGAAGAAGTTCCCCACAGCAGAGACGTCACTCTCGTCGACGCTCAAACCAAACGTCCCCTCTATCGCATCACGGAGTTCCAACTTGTCATGTTCAAGAATAAACCCATGATCGTTTCGAGGTTGAGCGAGGTAGCAGAGAAAGAAGAGGACCTAGCAGAAATTAAGAGAGGGTGGTTCGGCGAGTATGTAACCTTGGAATCAGATGGGGTGAGGTTGAAGGCGAACAAGTTCTTTTCTGTTGGAGCGTTTCAAGGGTGAGCACTCCATTTGTGGATCTCGTCTTCCGGCCACACGAGACGAAACCTCACTCACGATTTGTGCCTCTGACAGACATTACTCGTTCACGGGACCGGATGGGCGAACTCGCTACCGATGGGAGCTCGGAGTACAAGGCTCGAAGGTAAATGCAAGATACCAATTCTCTTCTGGCCGCCGTACCTCTTCCACTCTGCTGACGATTGGTCTGGATCCCTCTAGCTTACAACAGACGACCAAGCCCGAACGCTCGTAGCCCAATACACAGAAGAACGGAGAAATCTTCTAGGCCTCGGAGTAGTCAAGGCACCACCTCGACTTGTTGTGATGCAAGCAGGCATGGATATGGTGGATATGGTCGTGATAACGTTAGCGTATATTGAAAAGAAAAGAGAGGAGGTGAAGATCGCCACGATGGCAGCAGTAGCATCTTAGAAATTCCATTGTTTTTGCGCGTCGATGAGACATGGACCATCTCGGCTCGTTGGACATTCGTCACAATTTCATACGGTCACGTAATCCACAAAGTTGTAGCAACGACACTCCCTTTCACGGTCCAGAGATGTCAGCCGACAAGAGCTCGAGACGCTGAGTCCCAGGGCTGGTCATCATAAGCAACCTACTACCGCGTTTACGCAGGGTCGGGACGTACTATGTGGTGCGTGCTATCCCCTGGATCTTGCCTCGAAGTTTGCAGAACTACCCTATTACTAGTATCATGTGACTAGTATTACTAATAGGACTATTAATATGTCATATGCTTTGTCCCGCGCGGGACTGTCCATATGCCCGGGTCATGTCAGGCACAATATGCCATATCGCCCGACCCATCTTTACTTATGACATATCCTTGGCCTGCGTCATGGGCCAGCCTCCATGCGATATCTCATGTTCACTCGCCGATCCGTTCCTAGATGGCATAACACATGGCATTATGATCTGTTGGCGATCTTCCATATCGCCTGAAGCGCCTACGATCACATATGAGACTTCCCCGTTGCTGTTTAGGGATCTTGCTCGCTCTTCTCCTTCGTCTATCTTCCCCATCGTCCTGCCCGTCCTGCACTGCACCTATGTTCGGTGTCCCTCTGGTGTGTCGGTAACGGGTCGGCTAAACCGTCCGCCCTCGACGGCGGTGTAAATGTCATGCTGTTTTTCAAATTATTGTTTGGCTTTTTGGTTGACCTGTTTGGGTTAGTCGTCTGCGTTGCTCCATCCATCTCGTCCGACGAGCTTTCTCTCTTCGCTCTCCCCTTTTTCCTTGAGGCCTCACATTCTCTTATCTGCCTGCCTCCATGCCTCCCGAGCCTCCGCCCACTCCCCTCCAACCTCCCCTCCCGGCCACTCCCCTCAACCCACTG